ATATTAAGTCCAATGGTGTCCTTAGACTTTAAATGGACATTTCCTACTGGTCGATATCTGTCCACTTGTTGAATATGGTACAAAATGTTGTTTTCTATTTTTATGGTACGATGTGGTATGTTTGTTTGGTACATAAATAGAGTAATAATAATAATTTATTCTCAAATAACAGTTTGTTACATGAGGCATGCCAGTTTACAGGCAAGATCAAATTGATACAAATGATACAATATACACTGTAATAAATTACATAACTGGGATGATAATTTATAAGATATGAATGTCGATAGTTTGAATCAGTACCACAGTTGGCGCGCTTCATGAAAGTTGCGTTGCGAATGTGCGACTGATTGTCAAGGATAGGTCCATTGAAGGTATGAGCTTTTAGAAATCGCAACCTTATTTCCTTCTGGGATATCCAAGGCTTTAAGGATGGTGCAGGATGAAGTCACCAGTTCCATATCTCAAGGGGGCTGAAAGAGGGAGCAAGTAAAAGAAAACACGAGAGGCAGAGTAGCCAATATTCATGAAGGAATGTTTAAGGTATGATTACTCAGTCTAATTTTCCTTTATTAAGGTATATGTTAAGAAAGAGCATTTTAATAGGTTAAAGAAAATAAGTGTTGACAAGGTGTGAGTGGACATACAACTGACAAATGGGGGCGATTCGGAAAAGAGCTGAGAGTATAAGATTATGTGTGATTATAAAATAAAATATAGTGCTAGAAACAGTATTGTGATATACATTTGGCTGTCTCCCCTTTAATATCGAGGCTATTAGAGCCCCTTTCGTTTTTTTAAAATATATTTCCTCAGTTATTATAGGGTCTTGATTAGGCTTCGTATATTAGCGAATTGTCTAGTTTGCTTGTAATAGGATTTCTGGGTAGGAAGTGAAACCAATTCAACGTTCGTAACACGACTTAAAGAGGTATTTTGCGTGAATAGATCAGCTTCAATACCATAAGTTCGTGGCATCCCACTAAACCATAAGGAGCCGTAATTAAACAAAATGTTCTGCCCTGCAGACATGGGTGGACTGAAGTTATCTCCCCACCATCATGTTTGCTGGTCAGTAACGCCACCCTCCTGAAATACAATGATTCATAACTCAGAGGGTGAGACTTGTGTTCTGGACTCAACTGGCTGGGATAGACAGGGAATCGGGACCAATCGTAACTCTAGGTCGTCCATTACGTTCGTATGTGTTCACGTGTCATTGAATCGATCGATAAATACGCTGTTCTCTAGTTTTTCAGTCAAGGACACAACAATTAGCACAGGGTAAAAATCGACCCAACTTAAAGTCACAACAGCATCATCCTAAGAAACGGATCTCTGTAGGAACACTGGACAGGATCAAAGAAAGGAAGAACAAGAAGACAGCAATTAACAACGGCCGAACACGAGCAGAGAAATTCCAAGCACAAGCTGAGTACATAGAAGCAAACAAGCAATTGAAGAAGAGCATTAGAGCCGACAAGCAGAAATACGTGGAAGAACTAGCAACGACGGCGGAAAAAGCTGCAAGAGGAGAAAACGTGAAACAGCTTTACGATACAATGAAGAAACTAGTAGGGAAATATAGTAAACCAGAGAGACCGGTCAAAGACAAAAAAGGCAGGCTAACCACTGAAATTCAGCAACAGAGGAACAGATGGGTATAGTACTTCGAGGAACTCCTGAATAGTCCAGCTCCAATGAATCCACCGGACATCGAAGCAGCACACATGGATCGTCTTATAGATGTCAATCCACTAACGACGGAAGAAATCAGAATGGCCATCAGACAAACCAAGAGCAGGAAAGCAGCAGGACCCGACAATATACCAGCTGAAGTACTGAAGTCAGACATCGAAGTAACTACAAACATGCTTCACCTTCTATTCAAAAAGATTTAAAAGGAGGGAGAAGTGCCGATGGACTGGAAAGAAGGACACCTCATCAAGATTCCAAAGAAAGGAGATTTAAGTAAACGTGAAAACTACAGAGGCATTACACTACTGTTAATACCAGGGAAAGTCTTTAACAGAGCGGTGCTTAACCGGATGAAAAACACGATAGACGCCCGACTTCCAGATCAACAAGCTGGATTCCGTAAAGATCGGTCGTGCACAGACCGAATCGCGACACTACGGATCATCGTCGAACAATCAGTTGAGTGGAACTCGTCACTGTACATCAACTTCATTGATTATGAAAAGGCATTTGACAGTGTGGATAGGAGAACGTTATGGAAACGTCTTCAACACTACGGAGTTCCTGAGAAGATTGTCAACATTATCCTGAACTCATACGACGGACTACAGTGCAAGGTCGTGCATGGAGGACAGCTGACAGATGCATTCCAAGTAAGGACCGGAGTCAGACAACGCTGTCTACTCTCTCCCTTCCCCTTTCTTATGGTGGTCGATCGGATTATGAAGACCTCGACATCTGAGGGAAAACACGGAATACAATGGACAGCTCAGAATCAATTAGACGATTTGGACTTCGCAGATGACCTAGCCCTCCTATCGCATACACATGAACAAATGTAGCATATAGTCAGACCAACTTTTAATGTAATATGAACTTTCTGACATTAATACACCTTTTCATGGTGTTATGTGACTTGGAGCTATTGACCATACCTTATCTCCAAAGTGGTTTTGGGAGTGGTTCTTATGATATATATAGTTATTCTAAGTGAAATATTCATGATAAGAGGTATCGAAAATAGTAAACGGCCTGACAAAAATGTAAAAACCGAATGGATTATTTTCAAAATTAAGATCATCCAATAGTTTTAACATTTAAAGAGTCTGTTGTGATGAGTTGTATAAACCCAAAAGGAAACCAATGGAACATCCTGTGTTACGATCAATTCATGGGTATGCATGATATTATTGACTTTATCACTAGATTTATTTAGTGAAAATCCTAGAATTCAGATAAATACATGTCTTTCATTGAATGAACAATCTGAAATAAGCCAAAGATTGCAGGAAATTTGTAGTTTAAACTGATCGCAAGTTTCTGGAATATTGTGTTCGTTGTTTGGCAATGGAACTCAAAACTTGGAAATCAAACAGGCAGTGGTAGATAGGAAAGATATCAGGAGATAGTCCGTAGTTTAAATTAGTAAATGAAACTGAAACTGTTAAGTGAAGAAACAAGATTGAAAATTAGATCCAGACAATCATCTAGCCTTTGCTTACGTTGCTGGAAAACATGTATCTACGTCAATGAAGAGCCATACTTACTAGTGGTTGATGTTTTAGCAAGTCTATTTTACTGAAGCTGCTAATAAAGCTTGCTGATGAAATATCATAGCTAATCGTGAATATAGATTATCAGTTATTGGTGTCAAACGGTCTAGTAAGTTATGAGTACCAATTGATATTACAATACAATACACGTGAGTACTAATCAACTGATTAGCAGAAAAATGAGTTAACATAAGTAAAAACAAATCGATAAACTTAAAGTGAGTATGAAAGCCAATAACGAGCCATATTCCATTAGTAGGTTTCAATAATTTAGAACTGTTTTCTTCTTCAGTATTAGTACATTTATCTTTGCTACTATAATGATAGACCTAATTTCAAAATTGTAGATTTGTTATGACGTGACTACTTAATCTGAAAGATTTTACATGGTAGTCGCACAATTATCTACACTAACTCGTCCTACGAGACAATAAAAAATATGCTATCTACCACTTCTGTTGAACACATTTGGGCTAGGGATATAGTAATATATTTGATTTGAATATGGGTAATTTACCGCTAAGAACCATGCCTGCAAGGCCAACCTGTACGATACCGATGAATTGTTCCCGCTTTCACCATTTTTGATTTCCTGTGTTACATGGCAGAGGTCAATATTTTCAGTAATTATATGCTCGGCTTCAAAGATTATGTGGTTAGGTACCAGTACTACTACAATATCACCTCTCTGAAACGTTCCCAAAGTAGGGGACACAAAAAGGTAGCTGGGCCTATATATGTAAGTAACTCAGCTCTTTTAAAAGCATTAAAGTTACAATATATGCAACGTATATGGGTTAGAGAGATATGATACTCTTTTATCTTGTCGCACATCTTTCTCTTCAATCAATACAGTTCACCTACAATGATTGTTAGAAAACCCCGTCTAGACTAGAACACGAAGAAGCTTGCACAAAAATCTTTCGAGTATTTGGAGACAATAAGCCATGAAACTTTTCATCAGGAGTTGTAGAAATTGTACCGTCTGTTCAGTTCTTCAAACGGAAGCTCGATTCTTACCTTAGTTAGACGGGTACATACAGGGATCACTCTAGGTGATATTCGCGACCAATTCTACCGTTGTTAACTAATATGCTCGGAACTTGAATTAAAGAAGGAATACAATGAGGTTCATGATTTATAACAACTAGGAATACTCTCATACCACAAGAACTCAGATCTGAAGAGAAAAATTGTTTGTTAATTCTGCCTGACAAAGTTTGAATATCTGAATAGAACATATTAACATGATCTACCCTGGTCAGAGGTCAGGTATTACCCACTTCGTTCACCCTATATGGGGATGGTTTGAACACAGTCATTGAGGCATTCCTTTGTGAAGAGATATAGCCCAAGGGTCTTGAAAGAACCTTCTAATGTGTTTTATCACCAGTATTATTGGGGTTCACTATAGTTTTTACTTACCGTTATATTCTGTTGGCTGGTCTGTGAGTCATTAGTCATTCCGATATTCCTAAGAGTTCTCAAGAACCAGGAATTAAGATAATGACAGAAAATTCCATTTCTGTTTATGAGGAGCAAAGGAAATGGGATTTAACCTTTTTACAGGTGTTCGAACGACTAGTACCAACCCCGTTGATAAAGATCATTTAGAAATACCGGAGTTTCACAGAGATACTTGTCTCAAAGGTCAGCATAAGTCATGCGAAATACCATTTTTATCACTAAGACCTGATATTGGCGTATGCTGTGACCTTGGTTTATTGAAGTATGTCAGTAGTACACATCAGGTTTTCTAGCGGTGGTTTTGAGATGGCTGGATTGTAAGTGCTACTTTGTTTTTTAAATTTTTCAGAGGGTTGGACGACAGGGCATCTGTTCTCTCCTTCATATGTCCAAGAGTACCTTCTGTTGGCATGGTTGAAGGTTTTCGCCTTTCCAGTATAAATTGCAATTTGCTTGCGGACTTCGAGTCATGTACTCGTGATGCTCAAGTAGCCCATTACAGTCATCCCATGAAAGTGTACTTACGAATAAGGCCTTATGAGTCTGATAATGGACTGTCTTCCAAGGTACTATCTCAATACTGTTCACCTTAGCTACAGACCGTGTTATCTTGTCCTGATAAATGTACTGTGATTGCCTGTCCCCCAGAAATGGATGGTCCGAAACATTCATTTCGTAATCTTCAAAAGAGTGCAAATAAATTTACCTTCAATGAAGTATTTCATCAATCAGATACCCAGGGAAAAGTTTTTGAAATTGTGGCCGCAGACAAAATTCGAGCTTTTGTTGAAGGTTTGAATGGTCTTATTTTTGCATATGGTACCACTAGTTCTGGGAAAACGTACACACTTCAAGGTAATTACCAGTAACTTGCTAATTTGTCAGGAACCCGAGAAAGTGTTGGGATTATCCCTCGGTCTATATACTCCATATTCAGCCTCGTCAAGCACAGAAGCGACCCGTTCCTGATGCCAAAAGATTTCTCAGATGTAGTTAGTCTGGATGAAGATGAGGTCCAAAAAGTTTTATCTGAAAAAGCTTCTCTTATTAAGTACTCTGAAGGCATATTTGAGGTACTTGTTACAGGTTCTTACTAATTTCTTAGAACAATTCCTTCCCCCATCAAGTTAAAGAACAAACGATTTTGGATGATACTTTCACCGGTACTGTCTCTTTTTTGTTAAGTGTTTTCTTTCAGGTCAAAACCCAGGGTTCAAGCCCGCTAGTGACATACGTTTTAGCTTCTGGATAAGTTTCGTGGAGATTTATAACGAAACATTTTATGATTTACTGGATCCTACGCAGTGCTCAAGTATCTTGACTGCCCAACCAAATGGTATCACCAGCACACGAAACAATCAAAACATTGCAAATCCTCGAAATATATTTAGTGTAAACAGCAGCACATCACATGTTCCAAATTTTGTAAATCAACCTAGAAGAACTCCACTGGAGCTGAGGACTGACAAGAACGGAAATCTTTTTATAAAAGGTATTTTAGGAAGTGTGGTCACCTGTTAAATCCCTTCAGTCATCGAAATTTACAAAGCTTTGTACTAAGAAAGTGGTAGTTCTAAATACTTGCTTCCTCTAAGTACCACAGCTAACTGAATTTACACCCCTTTGCATTAAACTAAAACTTTTAAATATTCATGTTACTGTTACGTTAACTGGCAATAAAACTATCTCGCTGTAGAATTTCTTGGACATTTCCCCTTAAGGATATTAAGCCATCTTCAATAATAATTAGGCCAAATGTACTTTGATTATTTCGATAAATTTACCGAGTGTCTAGTGAACAACTATACATGCTAAAGTTGTTAATGAATAAACACCAGATGGAATGCGAATAAATCATACAATGAGTTCATTTGAGTAGTATCAAAACAAACACAATTTCAAAGCCCTCAAAATCCACCAACATTGAATTTATACCAATCTTTATATTTACAGTAACTGGTTTTCATTATAGTGAAGATAGTATTTATCTCTATTTCTCTTTTGGAATTGTTGAGGTTTCATCAACTCGACCCATCTTAACTGACATGTATTACTACTTAAAGCATCACATAAGAGTTCCTGCACTTCTCGATAGCATCGAACCTATTTTCCCGGAAACAAATCTGTTTTGTGGTCCTCGCAGTTAGCCACTATTCTTAGTTTTCAAATCATGAATCTTAGTAGTGGGTTCGTATATAAGTCTATACACTTTTGCTACTTTTTCTTCGTATCAATAGAAGTAGATTTTAAATAAAAATAATATATTTGTAACAATGAACCCAATGCTCAATTTATTCGAAATTATCAAATCAAACCTTGGTAATGACACCTACAGAAGTATATTTGTTCGGTTCGAAGTTTGACGTTAGTAGCTATTTGTCTTTTATGTATGAGGAATCATCTTGCCAAAAGGGAATCAGAATCGATGTGCACCATTGCTTTGGAATGTGGGTTTTCCAACTCTCCTAGGTGAATCCTCTATATTCATCAACTTGGTTAAAGCGCCGATCATTCGCTTTTCTTCCTCTTAATTTCGTAAACAATAGCCTCGCTACGAGAAGGCAGTGAGTAGAACTTCTTTGTCAGTGGCTGTATACACGTGGCTATGTGAGAGCATTTCGAGAGGGTGAGTTGACTCTCCGTACCGTCGACCGTACCAGGGAATTTGGGGAATGTCTCATTCACTTATAAATAATCATCCTAAAATCTAAATACTTGAAGTATCAAATTTAATAAATTATCATTTGAAAATTTAAGTATGCTATTAATTTGACTCACTATTTTGCGTATCTTTTGGTAAGGTGTGAAATGGTATCCTGTATCTTCACCTGAAGAGGCCCTGAGACTTCTTGCTGTTGGTCGTCATTGCCAAAAGGTTGCATCAACACGTTTAAATCAAGCAAGCTCTAGATCTCATAGTATTCTGTGTGTGAAAGCTGTACGGGTAGTTGATAAAAACAATCCGAATTTCGCTCGAGTTAGTACCTTAATGTTTTGTGATTTGGCGGGAAGTGAACGTTCTGTAAAGGCTGCTACAGGTGGCCAAACACTGCGAATTCGTGAGGCTGGTAATATTAATTCAAGCTTGTTAACTTTGGGAAGGTTAGTTAATACTTATTTATTCTTTTGTACTTACGAAGTAGTTCACTTTTTCAGTGGCTCAAATACTTGACTATGTCAAGATTGACGCAGAAGCGGCGTCTAATGTTAAGGGTAGTTTGCAAAGATGTCAGGAAGTATTTTAAGACCAGTAGAGCATGACAGCAATAATGTTTTACTCTTGATAAGCTATGGTATGTTACGAAGCTTTCTACTGGACAATACTCGATATAACCAGGAAGTGAAGAAATTTATTTGCTTAAATAAATATAATCTTGTTCAAGCCCCCCCTAGGATTTCTGTCGTCTATCTTGTCTTCATCACTGGGTTTTAGTAGTTATACTGCCATATTCGTTAACATTTTGAAAATTTTACTAGGAGATAAAATATCTACTATTAAAGACACAGTTAACCCGGTATCTAATAAATAAGGTTATTCTAGTGGTCTTTCGAATTAGCTAGACAGGCACTAACTCATAGTCAAACTTACTGGATAATTAGCATGAGGATGAAATTATGTTTATTTAGTTTTATTCATTATCACATTGCTTCTATTAATTTTTGAGTAGTTTCTCATCGAAAAGTATGATGAAAATTTATGTGTTATTTTCTTTAAACTAGATGATACATGAGTACATGGGACGATTTTCCAAAAGGATTTAAATTACATACTTTCTATTTGGTTTAAACATTACAGATATTTTCTATTTTGTTGAGGTTATATTATTTTGTCAGACAAACAAAAGCAACTTACGGGATGCTTCAGAGAGCATAGGTTCCACTAGTAGTAATTGAAGAATAGGAAATCAAATCTATAGCAGTGGTACAATAATTAACGAGTAAATGTTCACTGTCTAGAAAAAGAATACAGTAGCCTCACCTCGCTGTAGTGATCATTTCTAAGCCTTTCTCAGGTTGTGATTGCTTTTCTTTATTCAGTATTCGCAATTTTCTTCAGGTCCATCACACTTCATTACGAAAATTATCCTGTGTCGTGTAAAATTTAGGTTTGGCTGTTTGTTACACTGTTCTGTTTCAGCATATGGCTAATGTGAATGGATGTTATTAATTTATGTTTTGTGAATTCATTGTGAATAAAAAGATCATTGATACAACTAGATGTTCTAATTTTGTGATAATCGTAAGTAAGCCCTCAGAATTTTTGTACAGTGCATGAAATCAGTGTTAAGAGAAAATTACAAAAAACGCAAGAATATGAGCATATCTTCGGAGTTTGAATTTCTGGAACTAAAAAGTAAGATGTTCTTTATCACCACCTGTCAACAACGGATTTTGTGTCTCTGATTTCTTTTCATTTGGCTAGCTGGATTATAAAAAACTTAAACACACTCAGATGCATTTGTTTACAAGTCATTTCTTGCTTATTGGCCTTACTAGTAAGACAGCTTTTTTAAGGCTTCTCAGGTGAATCGAGGTTATGTTTCTTTTCGGAAGACAGTTCATAGCAATTGTATCGAATAATTAACAGTAAATATGATTATGGTTATCTTATCAGTAATAAATGAATAATGTAATTTTAAACACAAAAATGAAAGGTGAGGATTTATTTGACACCGAAACTAAATTAATAACTGTATGAATATGCATCTTTAAACTAAATGACTTTAACCACCAGACATGAATAATATAATTACTCTTAAGTGTAATTACATTTTGTAGACGATCAGAAAAAAAAATCAACTTAGATCAATGATATTCTAGCAAGTTAAATCTTTTTTCACCATATTAATTATCTCAACAGCGGCCTAAATAATCATCACTTTTGATAAATAACATCTCGTTTATTTCCTTGGAAACTGAACTATTTTTTTGAATGGATATATGTGATTACGTTTTCGTACATGCTTTAATACGTTTTTGAATCTTGTTTCCAGATGTATTGAATGCCTAAGATATAACCAAGTTCACCCAGATAATCCAAAATTGGTGCCTTATAGAGATTCCAAACTTACACGTCTATTTCAAGGTTTCTTCACTGGTCAAGGCAGAGCGTGTATGATAGTCAATGCATCTCCAAATCCTGAATTATTTGATGAAACACTACATGCTCTTCGTTTTGCTGCTTTGGCCAGACAAGTTATTGTAGAAGTGAATCCTGTGCCTGAAACTTCTGTTTTACATCCAAATAAAGTGAAATGTAAACAAAGAGTTCAAGATATCAAACAAATTAAATCGTCTAATCAACCAATTGTTAAAAAGTATATTTCTTTTAAACATAAGTTTTTGTCATTTTTATACTAATGAAAGGACACAGTTATTCCTACAAAATTTTTCACCCCACTAAAATTGGTTAAATATTTGGAAAAAAATTCATTTTTTGTCGTTATATATTATTAAACAATTTGAGTAACGAAAGACCATCCACATCAATTTTTAGGTTTTTATTACCGAGAATTAGGATGGTTGCATTTCTGTATTTTCGTACAAATTGGGATAGTCATCATTTTTAAATATTCATGTCTTTATTATTTCAACTAATTAGTTCATAATCAGTATCTTTTATAACTCTTGAGATCAAATCGTGTGGGATAGTTGCTTTGTTTTGCTATAGGCTTGTCACCAATTTCAAAACTTCGGTTAGGGTTAGAGAAATCTTATACCAATATCCTGACCTGAAAGTCAACTGAAGTATAATTGTAGGTTAGCTGATCTGTTCCTTAAAGTGTTCCATCACCCTTAAATGGGAATCATTACACTTCCTATTCATTAGGTTCACACAATTCAGATGTTGCGAACATATGCTTGTCGCTAGTTTAAAAATTTCATGAGTATATTCAAGTTAAAAGGAAATTCGTTCTTGTTTCATTAATTATTCTTATCTACTTTTATTTTAATCGTAATTTTAGAGGAAACTCAATTTTAATAATGTTCTGTTTGTGACTGGGAAACGTGGCTTTTAAAGTGAAGGATTTCTATAGGTTACTGGTATTTGATCATTGGTACCTTCGAAGCACTGCTTGGATATCTTGGAACAATTAAGTGAGTTGTGGTGAGATTAGACACAGGATACTGAGTAAAGATAGCAAATTGTTTCGTGAGGTTGTAAATCTCCATCGATTGAGATGCCCAGGACATGTGTAGCATATCCCTAACCTCTGCCTACTTCCGTGTCTGATGTCTGCTGTGTAGTTTGGAAGAAAACTAGGGACTGCCAAATCAGTCCATAAAGTCATTGACTGTTGGAGCGATCCACGTTGGTAGGTATAAACTATCTGGTGGGCGTCTACGTAATAACCATGGTCAGTGGTTGAAGATGTTGGGTGATGTGGCTTGAAATCGGTTGCAATGGTGTTGATGCATTTACTCTGTCTTAAAATACGGATACTTTCTGTTCAGCGAATTCATTCAGTAGTTATATTGTCCATGCCTAATCTTTTCTATTGCTGCCACTACTACTTTGGGATCTTACTGTGTTGATGTCGTGTCGCAACATGAACTGATGCATATATTTCCCAGGTTCTATGCTACATACGACCGATTTATTGGTGAGGTTTTTACAAAATAAAGCTAACTTAACTACATAAAGTAGTGTATTCTAAATTCCATAGTCCCCTAGCTTTACTGTTCATTGTTTCTGATGTTTTGATGTATCGAGTCAGTTTAAAGAAGTATCGAAATGTGTCAACTTAGATAGCTTTCATCAATAGATAACGCATTATGTAGTGATTAAAGTTGGTTGCCAATCATCGTAGTATTTAAACCAGTGATCTGGTTAGTAACTCAGTTTTATCACTTAATTTATAATCAGTTCATTGACATGATAATCAAGAGGTTACTTGTAAAAAGATTGACATAATCTATGTTTCCTTCCAACCTAAGTCTATTCGTAAATACTGAGTTCTCACTGTGGTTTTCTCTGACGAACTATATATATATATATATATATATATATATATATATATATATATATATATATATATATATATATATATATATATATATTGTATCAGGTTACTGTTTTTCTTGTAGCCGTTATTGAAGATCTAAAGGTAATTAAGTGTTTAGTCGATACTTTAAATTGACCAACAACCCATCGTGTTAAGTGGTAAATCGCAGAATACATGAGTAATCAAAATTAGTATTCCCTCCTACACCATCTTATTGTTTCTTTTGTCTACAATATTTACTATTCAGAGATATAACTCTATGTACCCCAAACGATAATCGGTATGCCTATATTTCCTTTCTAAAAATGTCAGGATTGTAGAGTCAGATTCTGTTTTGGAGCCTCAGTCAACTCGTTGGTCTGAAGATGATTTTGATAAGAAAGCTTTGTCACTAGATGAAGTATCTGGCGAAGTTAGCTCACCAGTTGATTTCGATTATTTATCTTCACAAGCAATGACCCCATCAAATAATGATGGAACTGAACTGGTATTAGATCATTTCAGTAAAGAGGTATGTTTTCGTCTTACTCAAGTTTACTCATCAGTTAAATAATTGTGATATTTACCTTGTACAACGGATGGTTTGAATATTTCTGTGGAATATGTTACTGATAATATTTTCACATACTAATCAAGAAGAAGTAAACACTAGATGCGTTAATCACTTAACTAATCTTGGGAACCTCATCGGCCCTGGCGAGTTGGTTTCTGGCGAAATTTCGGTAAGGATTCAGAAAGCCCACCTGATATTTGCCAACTTGCGTCACTTGTAGCACAGGAAAGATGTCCATCTGGCTACCAAAATGAAAGTGTAATGGGTGGCAGTCCTCTCTATATTTCTCTTTTGTTGTCACACATGATGTATAAATGTAAATGATACAGGTAACCTGCAGAGTTTGGACTAGGGGTGACTTCGAAGCATTACTCGCGTATCATGGGAAAACCCAGTGAGCTACTTTAAGGCTAGACATAAGATATTAAGCGAAGGTAAGTCGGTTGACAAGATTGTGAATTTTTATCAACTGTGTTGGTTCGGTCGTGTATTACACATACTTAACCACCGCCTGCCTTGAAACGTTAAGTTATTTGATATAGAAGTGGGTTGGAGGAAATATATGGGTGACCAAATCAAAGCTTATCATCAGTATATGAAATTAATGACTGTTGAACTGAGGTGTGTAGTAGGTCCAAACTATCTGATCGAGGTTCATGCAATAACTCCCTCTGGATCTCGAGTCGCAATATCTCGTCATACATACCTTTTTATTATATCTTTTAGAACCACATTCCTAACGTTTAGTCTTTCCTATTATCTTCGTTACTACATTATTTTGATATCTTTTGCTATTCACCTTGTTAATTTTAGTATGGCGATCTGAACTAATCCACGTTTGTCATGGTTGACCGACTGCGTTTTTATTTTCATTGTCAACTGTGAACATTTTGAGATCTTTCACAAAATCACAACATAAACTCTAAAATCCAAAACTATGATACAACAGTTTTCTAGTAATCCCTGGGTTTTAATCGTCCTTCTACTTACTGTTAAATTACTTACTTACGCCTGTTACTCCTAATGGAGAATAGGTCGCCGACCAGCATTCTCCAACCCACTCTGTCCTGGGCCTTCTTTTCTAGTAACATCCAATTCTTGTTCATTTTTCTCATGTCTATTTCCATTTCCCGGCGTAATGTGTTCTTTGGTCTTCCTCTCCTCCTTCGGCCTTGAGGATTCCATGTGAAGGCTTGTCTTGTGACGCAGTTGGATGCTTTCCTCAATGTGTGTCCTATCCACTTCCAGCGCTTCTTCCTGATTTCTTCCTCCACTGGGATCTGGTTTGTTCTCTCCTACAGTACGTTGTTGCTAATGGTGTCCGGCCAACGGATCTGAAGTATTTTGCGTAGACAACTGTTAATAAACACTTGTATCTTCTGGATGATGGCTTTCGTAGTTCACCAGGTTTTCACCCCATACAGTAGGACTGAATTGACATTTGTATTGAAAATTCTGACCTTGGTGTTGGTTGACAGTTGTTTTGAGTTCCAGATGTTCCTCAGTTGTAAATATGCTGCTCTTGCTTTACGATCCGCGCCTTCATATCTGCATCAGATCCACCATGTTCATCAATGATGCTACCTACATCTTCCAAATCTTCTCCGTCATTTGTGGTTGGATTGGTGCATGCTGTGTTGCATCAGAGAACCTTGCTCTTCCCTTTGTGTATATTGAGACCTATTGCTTCTGAGGATGCTGCTACACTGGTCGTCTTCTCTTGCATTTGTTGTTGCGTTTGGGATAGAAGGGCCAGATCATCTGCGAAGTCTAGATCGTCCAACTGCATCTTAGATGTCCATTGTATCCCGTGTTTCCCTTCAGATGTTGACGTCTTCATGATTCAGTCGATCACCAGGAGAAAGAGAAAGGGTGAGAGTAATCAACCTTGCCTGACACCGATCTTTATTTCGAAAGACTTTGTCAACTGTCCTCCATGCACGATTTTGCAGTGTAATCCATCATATGAACTCTGTATGATATTGACTATCTTTTGAGGCACGCCGTAGTATCGAAGAAGCTTCCATAGTGTTGTCCTGTCCATGCTGTCAAATACTTTTTCGTAGTCAATGAAGTTGATGTAGAGTGATGAATTCCATTCAATTAATTGTTCCACAATGATCTGTAGAGTTGCGATTTGGTCTGTACACGATCTATCCTTACGGAATCCTGCCTGTTGGTCACGAAGTTGGGCGTCTAGCAGTGCTTCATCCTGTTTAGCAATACCTTGTTGAAGACTTTTCCTGGTATTGAGAGAAGAGTGATGCCTCTGTAGTTATCACAGTTGCTGAGATCGCCTTTCTTCGGTATTTTGATCAGAAGTCCTTCTTTCCAGTCTGTTGGTACTTGTTCCTCATCCCAAATCTTATTGAAGAGAATGTAGAGTATCCTTGCAGTTGCCGCTACGTCTGCTTTCAGTGCCTCTTCTGGAATTTTGTCTGGTCCTGCTGCTTTGCCACTCTTGATTTGTCTGGTGGCCATGCTGATTTCTTCAATTGTTGATGGGCCAACATTGATTGAGAGGTCCGTGGGGCTGGTCGATTCAAGAGTTCTTTGAAGTGTTCTACCCACCCGTTTCGTTGCTCTTCAATGTTAGTGATTACCTCGCCTTCCTTGCTTTTCACTGGTCGTTCTGGTTTGTGGCGATTCCCAGAGAGTTTCTTTGTCGTGTCATACAGTTGTCTCATGTTTCCTTCTCTTGCAGCCTTTTCCGCCGTCGTTGCTAAATCTTCCACATATTTACGTTTGTCGATTCTGATACTCCTCTTCACTTGTTTGTTTACTTCTGTGTATTCAGCTTGTGCTTTGGCTTTTTCTGCTCTTGTTCGACTGGTATTGATTGCTGCCTTCTTGTTTCTCCTTTCTTGAATCTTATCCAGTGTATCAACGGTTATCCATTCCTTGTGATGGTGCTTCTTGTGACTCAGGACCTCATGACATGTTGAAGTGATTGCCTCTTTGATTCCCTTCCGTTTTTAGTCAGTTGCTCTGCTCTTTTTAATCTTTTACCAATTATAATTTCCGTAAACGTGATTTTGCTTCTTAGTTAAATATAAAGTATGACAAATTATTAAAAGATATGTTTTTACTGGCGTGGGCAAAGGATTAACTTCGTTTAGTGCTGATGCCTCTTCGCTGAGGTATTAGAATAAAACATGAGCTCATTATAGTCCAAGTGAATTCTTTCGTGCTTGAACTGGTTGTCTGCACGTATATTTGCCTGTGTTAATAATAATTTACACTTATCACCAAAAATAATCACCTCTCTGTTTCTCGTTTTCTTAAGTAACTAAGAACTTTTCCGTATATTCCTTGTAACAGGAACTAATTACAATGGTTAAAGATCTCTCTGAACAATTGTTTGAATCGAAAGGTCAGTTGGTGCAACAAGAAGCACGTTTAAGGGCGGAAATGTGTGATAATATGAATCAGCAGATCATTGATTTTGAAAATAAGTTTGAGTAAGTTATTTTAAGGACTATTTTCCCGAGGGATATTTATCTACTTAAAATAAGATTTATTTTACAGATCATTTAATTACTTCATCACGAAGTTATATATATATATACCGAAATCTTAGAGAAGAATGCCTTCCAAGTTTCGGATTTCGAATTATTCGCTTCAACTCCTAACAAAACATTTGATATGATCGTCATCACTTGGCTTCAGAGACCCTTTCCATAAACGTTACAGGTTAACACAATCCCATCGAAATAGCTGAACAAAATTGTCAATGTTATGAATCCGTATCTGAATATCAACTTTCTTTCTAGGTTACAATATACCTCATTGACGTATGTCAACAATTATGTCCCGACCGTTATTGCTACTTTGACGTAGTGGTCGGGCTTTCCTATCGTGATGAACGGATCGAGCCATACTGGTTGGAATAATCGTTCCTCAAGGTCCTACTATGCCAGACAGGTTGGTTGAATAGTGGTAAGACTAAAATAAACGAATCCAAGAGCGAAGTCGTACTGCTGACGGTACGGAGATGTGACTGCAGTAAGGTGTTTCCTCCAGACAGACAGTATAACAGCGATGCTGCCTTCCCATAAGGAAGGGTGGGGTCAAAAAAGGTTGACCCCAAAAATGTACACTTCACCTTATCCCAAGGACTCCAGTCTGCGGCGGTATGGTCCCGATAAGTACGGAACTAACAGCACGGAAGACCACAATTATGGAGTCTAGATTCAGGACTCCTTTTTGATTATTTTCTGCAACTATGATGGTGATGTGACTCATTTGCCGAGTTTGGTTTCTTACACTGGACTTCGAGCTACACTTCGTGTGAGAGCCCAACTTCGAGATCAACAAGCTGGATTCCGTAAGGATCGGTCGTGCACAGACCTAATTGCAACACTACGGATCATCGTCGAACAATCAGTTGAGTGGAACTCGTCACTGTACATCAACTTCATTGATTATGAAAAGGCATTTGACAGTGTGGATAGGAGAACGTTATGGAAACGTCTTCAACACTACGGAGTTCCTGAGAAGATTGTCAACATTATCGTGAACTCATACGACGGACTACAGTGCAAGGTCGTGCATGGAGGACAGCTGACAGATGCATTCCAAGTAAGGACCGGAGTCAGACAAGGCTGTTTACTCTCTCCCTTCCTCTTTCTTCTGGTGGTCGACTGGATTATGAAGACCTCGACGTCTGAGGGAAAACACGGAATACAATGGACAGCTCAGAATCAATTAGACGATTTGGATTTCGCAGATGACCTAGCCCTCCTATCGCATACACATGAACAAATGCAGATAAAGACAGTCAGTGTAGCAGCAGTCTCAGCACCAGTAGGCATCAACATACACAAGGGGAAAACCAAGTTCCTCAAATGCGACACGGAGAGGATCAACCCAATCACACTTGATGGCGAAACTCTGGAAGATGTAGAATCCTTCACATACCTGGGAAGCATCATTGATGAACAAGGAGGATCAGGTGCAGACGTAAAGGCGAGGATTTGCTAAGCAAGGGTCGCATTCCTACAATTGAAGAACATATGGAACTCAAAACAACTTTCAACCAATATCAAAGTGAGAATCTTCAATACCAACGTCAAGGCAGTTCTACTGTATGGAGCTGAAACTTGGAGAACTACAACAACCACCATCAAGAAGGTACAAGTATTTATAAATAGCTGTCTACGCAAGATAATCAACATCCATTGGCCGGATAACATCAGCAACAGCCGTCTGTGGGATAAAACAAACCACCTTCCAGCTGAATAGGGAATTAGGAAAAAACAATGGAAATGGATAGGACATACATTACGCAAATTATCAAACTGCATCACGAGACAAGCCCTAACTTGGAATCCTGAAGGGAAGCGGGAAAGAGGAACGCCAAAGAACACATTACCTCGGATAATAGAAGCAGATATGAAAAGGATGAACAACAACTGGAAGGAGCTGGAAAGTATTGCCCAGGACAGGGTTGGACGGAGAATGCTGGTGAGCGGCCTATGCTCTTTCACGAGGAGTAACAAGCGTAATTAAGTAAGTACTTGAAGTAAATGTATTGAGCAGGGCTCAAACCTTCGATCTAGAGGTCGAGACGAATCCTGTAACCACTAGGACACCGTCTCACTTAAACTGTTCTATATATATATATTACCTAAGGGGTTTTGATAATTAGGAAGGGGGCTTAGTGAAATATATCGTGAACTCTAAGATTATTGGGTGTTAAATAGTGATAATAACTTCATGAATGATGTCCAAATCCACTAGATAGTATATAAATCCAGTCAGTTTTTCATTTCACTTCATAAATAAGTACTATAAAAACACATTTTCGTATATATGAGCTTATCTCGTTTAATCGTTTTACACTCACTTATTTCCTTCATAGAGCACTATTAAAAAGTAGAGAGAATTATCTATATGAAGAATCAAATGTGCGTATGCGTAATATCGTTCAATCAGTGAATCAACGTCAAACTCATCTAACTAAAAATTCTAAACGTTTATGTCCAAATGATTCAGAGGCTAGTAGCAGTGATGAGGATATTTCACAAATCGACAACTCTTTACAAGAAAATATTGTAAAGATAAAACAATCTTTGGGAGTATGTGACAATTGTTCAGGTAGATACATATACGCTTTCTTGTACTTTTTAAGTTAGCTGGTCAATCAATTATGGTAGATGATGTTAACTTCTGAATTGTAGAAGTATATCAGACTTTCTTTTGTCCATGTACGTAAGGTAGAATTTTGTGACTGATTGATCACTGAACAGTAACCAGTGTCTTGTTTGTTTAAACTTTTCAGTGCAAATCGAATTTTGTAGATCAAGTTTCAATATAGCCACTATTCTAAGTGACCTGACATCGCACACATCATGTTGAAGTGTTAGGTAGATGAAGGTTACCATTAGAAAACCGTGATTGTAGGTTTCGAACCGGGTCTCTATGTAGTCAGAGCAAGATAGTTTACGAGTTATAATAAGTCAAAAGCATCTAATTTGCTTACTGCTTATTTTCATTGAAGTTTTTATGAGTGTTGCATTTTTAATACAAAGGATATGAGTTGTTTGATGTTTTTCACTAGCATAGTAAGTGAATTTAAGGCGAAAATGACAATATTCAAATTACTGTCCATCAGTAATTGCAGCTTTTCGGATAGTGTATTATTCATAATGGAAAAATATATAATGTCTATAAAACCAAACCAACAATCAGGATTTTTGTGTATTTCAAGATATATTGCTAAAAGTTGAATTGTATGACGTTACAGTTTTATTTCTCACGAAAAAGTTATGTGCGTATTTGTGTAGGAATTATTTATCTTCACTCTTCATATTATTGGTCAGTTAGTCATCCATATTTAACATAGAGCTTGGCAAAACAGTGCGTTAGCTTGATTTACCATAGCACATTAACATATCAAGATGAGATTGGTATGACTTATCGTAAAGGATTCGAAATAACATAATGGCAGTGATAATGAAAAAGACTAAAGACTGTAGAACACGGTTCGAAAAGATGAGTTCGCGATACAAATGCATGAAAAAAGTATTGAATCCCAAGGTGAAAAATTAACGAATAAATTTGCTCTACTGTAATCAATTCTAAGCCGTCACCCATCTCCAATTATTGATCAAAGACATCACATGGACCCCAACCAGATTATTTAAACTTCCATATCGGATAAGAAATGATATTTTCCTCAAGTGACTTAATTTCCACTCAATCACTCGTCACTTGTAAAAACTTTAAAACTCTGTTAGAAATAAATATCTTTATATTTGAACTACATTTTGCTAAAAACTGAAGTTTATTTACATTTTCATTTTTAATGAAACAAAATCTTATCGGTTTTGCCATTTAAAGTAGTTTGAGGGAACTGAAAAAAATGTTTAATGAATTCGTAAAATTGGTTACTATCTAACTCACTGGTTGTCTAATTATTGCCAATATGAGACAAAAAAGTTAACGAAAATTTTGAAGTGATCTTTAAAAATATCTCAACTCAGACAATAATCATGTGCTCACTTGTTACTAGATTTAAGGTGAATTCATAAATTTCAAACATGTTGGGAATAAAACTGCGGTCAACAATGTCTTTGGCTGATCCCCGTGCCATGTCACGAATTGATTGAAGTCGGCGTTGTAAAATTAGACGTCGACCTACCGCAAGACCTACAAGTCCTGAGTTTGGTTTGCGGCGAGTTCATGGGTACATATTATCAAGGAACTAAATACTAGGTCGAAACGGCTTCCCATTACTCCCTGGTTTTCAATGCTACCCCGTATTAGATCAATCTTTAACAAACACTACTTATAAATCACAGTCTGAATTAGAACTTGTGATTAGTGCAGTTCAACCCGGAAATATATATTCCAATATCATCGGTTGGTATAACAACACTATCATGAGTTGACTAAAGTTGCTAAAACTCGAAACCTTTTGATTTCAACTTATTGGTCTAATAAAATTAATACTGTAGCTTTAAAACTAAACTCCTTAGGTGTTCGTTGATTAATGAATTTCACATTTGGAAATAATATATCTTTTCAGTTATTCTTAACCTTTTTCTATTGACTCTCTGGTTAATGTAAGCATGTCAATCAGTTATTCATAAGCAACATATCAGCTGGGACATATATACATCGGTTCAAGTTACTACATTATACCACCACAGTGAGATGGAATTATCAAGTTGACTGATGGAGTAGTAAAAATAGTAGTGTGAACACGTGAAGAAAGTGAATTTTTATATAACTTTGGTTAAACAACATGTGTTGTATATTTTCGTGTGTATATCGACTATGCTTGTTAATTAGTATGTGTATTTCAATATTGTCATCATCCATATGTCTGTCTGTATAATTCCTTTAGCACAAACAATCAAAATAGCACAACTTTTACAAACAATTAAACAGTCAGAGAATCAAATTGCGGAATTGCAAGGTGACTTAGCAGATCAAAAAGATATCATTGAAAATCTTATGCGTGAACTAGATCGTATTCGAGTAGAGAATAGAAGATTAGATTTTACAGTCGCTCAACAAAATCAGGTAATCTTTCTTTATTATGTGTGTGTGTGTATCTTCAATTTGATTACTAAAATTAGATTGTGATCAGTATCATTCAGCCTGTTTATTATATATTTAACTCCTGGAATTATTTTCCTTGCCATGTTGAATTTGTTAATTAGTAGTAAACGGTGTATTGTAGTATGTTTGTGCTCGTATGCATAGAAAAGCTTGTGTTTTGTAGACCTGAAAAAGAGCAGAGAATTTCAGCCAACAACTTGGTTGGTACACAAATTCTCTAAAATGGTCGAGGATAAAGAGAGTCCGCTCCCTTTTGTAGAAATCTCATACAGCCTCGCGCTTTTAGCCTACCAACCTTCACATGGAGAGTGTGTTTTATCAAAGTGAAAAGACGAGTAACGAACTGCTGGATCTTAGACCGGGGTTGTTGGAAACGGAATGTTCAGATAGAAGTGTTGCGAAGTCCTAAGTCCAAATTAATGTTCCTGAAAAGACCCATGGCGTGCGAACCCATTGTAGTCACTGGCTACCATGGGACTGTGTTTCCTGACACTACTCCACTACCTTGTTAACTAGACGTTTAGGCTAAATGTTCAATAAGCATTCTTCTGGGAGAACCTTCTACTTTGACTTAGGTATCTGAGTAGTATTACACTCACCCAAATATATATCAGTGGAAAATAAGCATACCAATTGGTTTATTTTACATGTAATATATATTTCCTAATGTCCTATTCTAGGTAAAATCTGACTTGTTTCTTCTTATTCCATTTTTTTCGCAATTATAATTTTACTAATAAAATTTGGGAAGTCTAATAAGCTTAAAACTGATGTACAAATTCAAGCAGAACTAAATGATGAGGTGAGATATTTCTAATATTGGTTTATTTTACTTATTGTTAAATAATCTACGTTTTTATTAGTCATGGGTTTAATTAATGGCTAACGATAATGAAATATGAAATATATTGCGACAGCTGTTTCACTACGCAGCGGATCTATCAAATGGGACAGATGTGCATCAACCCAGGTTACCATATTGCATAAACACAGTGAGATAAAATTGACACAATTAATAGTAAAGGAGTAAAAATAATGGTACTATGAATGATAGTGCAAACTGTTTACGATTTGAGAATAAAGTTTGTAAAGAAGGGGTGAATCGGAAGAATAAAAAGCCTGAAAAGCTATTAAGGCACATGACTTTGGGTAAGATAACGAGTGAATGCATCTACGCGACTGTAATCTATTCTGAGTCATATCATCTAATGTCTCCCACTGCTGATCGCAATCATTATGCGAACCCTAACCACAGAGTATGCATCGACCAACATGGCTCAGACCCAGCAGTGAACAACTTCGTGAACTAATGCCACGTTTTGTACTAGTCTCTTTAAGCTTTCTTTCAACCCTTGTCCTACACCAACCAACAGCGCTCGTCGAAGCACATGGTGGTTGGGAATACGGAACACATATCCTAACCACTTCAGTTGATAAAGATTCAACTAATCATTTATATTTACCTAGTACCCTACACCTAATCTTAGAATTCTTGACTTGTTTTTCATTTGAAGTTCGTAGCTGATTCCAGTGTGATGGAGTGATGAATAATGTCTACAGAATATAGATCCAAATTACTTCGTATGTGTTCCGTCGATTTAACTAGTTTAGAACAATAGTATATACAAGGTCGAATAAAAGTGTATGGGATACTCATATTTTATTCATCCGTTTCGGCAGATTGACGAAGAAATGAAGAGCGGAGCTGACAGTTATGTCTTCTCAAATGCTACTCAATACATGTATTAATAAAACTCAACATGGTGGTAGAAGGAATAGAGACATAGGATAAGATAATAAGTATACAGGCGCACACATACCATGGGAATGCATCTCCTTACGATGCTCCATTGCCTTGTGGGTTAGACCTTTAGGTCAAAGGCTCGGGCTGTGGCCCCCTAAGATAAACATCTGCTTTGGTCTGGGCACCCGGGCAGTATCACAGCCCACATGCAAATAATGAACTCTCTATATCTATGGAAACTACATTTCTCGCTCCGAATAACAATCAAATGATGCAAATTATTATTATTATTATTATCATTATTATTGTTATTATTATTATTATTTACTACATCATTATTCACCCTCTGTTATTCCTACTCCGTCTATACTTATTTTTCGGTTTATATGCAGCTCGTCTTTGGTGGAAATTCGACTCTATCTAAACGTTCTCGAGTCACTGTCCGGTTGAAAATTGTATTCTACCACCAAATACGAATACTGAAGCAGTTTTTCTGAAACCACGTGCACCATTCGAACTAGCTGCCTTCAACGTTCGCACACTTATGCAGGTCGGACAACAGATAGGGCTGGCTATGTCTTTGGAAAGTCTTAATATTGTTGTTTGTTGTCTATCCGAGACCCGTATTCAAGACTCTGGCGAAGTACTACAAATTCGATCTCCATCAGTCGCTTCAAAAAGCTTGTTTTACGTGCGCTTATCCGGGGACCCTGTGGCATCATCGTCTGGTCTTGCTGGCGTTGGTGTCGCACTAAGCGCTAGAGCTGAGGCAGCACTAATCGATTGGATCCCCATCAACAGTCGACTATGTGCTGTTAGATTAGAAAGTTCCATCAAAGTGAGAAGAAATCGGCATGAGAAACGATGTCTTTTCGTCATCTTGGCCTATACTCCGACAGATTGCAGCCCGGATGCAATCAAGGATGAGTTTTACCACCAGTTATCTGTTCTTCTCCAGAAAGTGCGTTCGACAGATATTGTAGTACTAGCCGGAGACTTGAATGCTCAGGTTGGGCGTCTAGGCACAGAAGAGAGTCGTTTAGGTGGCCGATGGGGTCTTGTTGGTCGCAGGACAGATAACGAGGACCGAGGACCACAACCTGTTTCTGGCTAGCACTAACTTTCAGCACAGTCATCGCCGATGTGCCACCTGGCGTCCTCCCTCTGCATCTCAAGCCTGGACTCAGATCGATCACATCGCGATCAGCTACCGCTGGCGTGGTTGTGTACAAAACTGCCGCTCCTCTTGGAGTACCTATCTGGACTCTGACCATGCTATGGTCTGCGTCAATCTTACCTTACTTTTCAGTGGCCAACGAAGTGACCGCCATCAACGGATTGATGTTAGAAAGTTGGTTGCAACTTCTGTTGCAAGTAAGTATCGAACCATGCTAGCCTCTAGGCTAGCTACCATTCCACTGAAAAGTATAGATGAGCATTGGCTGCAGTTGCATGACGCCATGAAAATGGCGGGTACAGTCAGTTGTGTGTTCGCGAAACGTCCCACTTATAAGCACCGGGTTTTTTTCAGGCTCCTTACAACTCATCGAAGCCCGTCGGTCTACTCCGTGTATCTAGGTAGCTGCATAAGTGCTGGTGGGGGTGTGAGTGATGAGATTAATGCACGTATAGTCAAAGCCAGAGCGGCTTATGCCAATCTGGGCCATCTTTGGTGCCTTCGTGATGTCAGTCTGGCTGTAAAATGTGGGATCTACAACGCGTCGGTGAGAGCAGTTTTACTTTATGCTTGTGAAACCTGGCCTCTCCGAGTTGAGTATGTTAGACGACTCTCTGTGTTCGATCATAAATGTCTCCGAAGGATTGCTGACATCCAGTGGCAACACCATGTTAGTAATGCAGAGGTTCGGCATCGTGTGTTCGGGTGCAGAGACAATAATTCAATTGGTGTCACCATCTTGACACCGACTTCGGTGGCTTGGACATGTTCTACGAATGTCGTCCCAGAGAATTCCACGTCGTGCATTATTTGCCGACCCTGGGACTGGTTGGGAAAAGCGGAGAGGTGATCAGTGCATGACATGGTGTCGTGATATGAAAGAAAGCTGCAAAGGGCTGGCTTGTGTTGGTCCTTCACGACTCACTGGCTGGGGTCCGAGAGATGGTGCAACATAGTGGCTACAGATGTTATCAAACATGTCTCAGAATAGAAACCAGTGACGATCCTGATGTAACATTTGTTTACTTTTTTCATAAAAAGTGGTTTTGTCTCCCTTAACTGAAAGATTTCTGATTGTACCTTTCTGTTCCGCCATTTTTACCATTTTTATTATTACACCACCTTACATCAATCTTTTTCTCTCCTTCCTCTTAAATTCTCATTGTTTTGTGTGGCGCATATAGATTTGGCGCATTCTTGTACCAATATTTATGTGTTCAAATAAATAAATAAATACACATACATGCACAAGTGCATATGAAACGTATGTGCACAGTTAAAGGACGTGAATATAAGACTTACATATATTGAAGGTCACAGCTTCTTATGAAGGTAATGGAATTATTGGGATGATAAAAATGTCACAATATTAACAGTGCGTGTGGGTTACAAAAGTCTGTTCAGAATTTTGGATAGATCACACATACGTGTGATAGCATAGAGGCTGCTAAATTTACACCATGTGCGAATGGTGCTTCGAAGACGCTTTCAAAGACACCAAGTACTTGCAACATACATTTGTTTCCTACTTTAGTAGACAATGCTTCACAACCATAGAATAATAAACCGTGAATCGCTCCCCAGTGACCTTGTTCTTTTGTTGTCGAACGGACATCCCGTCTACACTGTACGTGATGCAAGCTGGCAAAGTCAAACTCGGTCGATTATCCAACTCGGAAATTTTTTATTGTTTTCTGAAATTTAGCGTTGGACTTACCAGAACCGATCCAGTTAATAAGGTAATCTAGGTGGTCAGATTGCTCAAATGATCTTTACACTTTAAGCACATTGATTGACTCCGTAATAATTAATGTCGAAACCCAACTATCATACCTTATGATGACAAAATCCCACGAGACCAGAATTTCCTCAATTCAATTATTATTTGATAAGTATTTGGTTGATAACGCCTATAATGAGTTATTTGCAACTATACTGAAATATTAGTAATCAGTCTCATATAATTTCTCAAATAAATTGATAAATACTTTCTATCCTGTTCATTCGTCCTAAGTTGACTGTTTTCAATGTAAACTACGTTAAACTAAGATTATTATTAGTACACATATATATCTGGTGCCCCCTTGTACCAATATTTATGTGTTCAAATAAATAATTAATATACATGATGAATAGGGTTTTATTTGTTTTTTCCTTTATGATCAATTCGTTTTTCCCCCGACTTTCTGACATACCGTAATACGGCCTGTAACTGATTTACCATGCAAGAATTTGTGCATTCAGCAGGAAAAACTTTACATAGGTTTCTTGCTAGTTGGCACTCGTCAAAAAGGCGTATCTGTAATCTCGAGAGAGTATCAGTTTCTTGAAGATTCCAGGTGTATCTTGTTGATGTTTATTATTTTTATTTATTTAAACACATAAACACTGGTACAAGGAGGCACCAAACAAGATATGCGCCACATAAATCATTCGATTAATGTGAGGGCTGGGATACTGTCCGGGTGTCCAAACCGAAGCAGGTGATTTTCTTAGGGGGCCACACCCAGAGCCTTTGACTTGTAGGTCTAATCCACAAGGCAGATGAGAAACGTTAAGAGATGCAGTCCTATGTTAGCCGGTGACCAACATTTGTTTCCTTAGGATCCTGTAGCTCATATACACCATCTGTTTGGAATGAGGGTTTTCCAACTCCCCTCAGTGGATCCTTTAATTCCACCAGGCCGGTTAAGGCACCGGACATTCTCTTTTCGTCCTCTCAATTTCGTAAACAACAGCCTCGCCACGAGAAGGCAATGAGTAGGACTTCCTTGTCAGTGGCTGTATACACGTGGCCATGTGTGAGTATTTCGATTGGGCGAGATGACTCTTCTCACTCGGCCGTACCAGAGCATTTGGGGGCGAGTGCCAACTAACATGAGATATATTTCCAGGGTTCCCTACTGACTACCTCCAACCACCTAAGGTCAAAATATAGTGTACATACTATCGAGTCGCTTACACTAATCGGCACATTAAGAATCGACCAGCCCTAGTCACTACTCAATAATCAATCAGTGATACAGGTTTATTTTGTCTAATTTGAGCCACATATTAAATATGAAGGCTAATTGTAATACCATATAATTTCCCAGATCGGAGTAGAAAATATTCAATTGCTCCACACACCGTTAAGTGAATAAACTTTATCTTTTTTATACCTATCAGTGAAACTAGAGATGATATTTCCCTTTCTTTTGCATGTTTAGCACGTTGTTTCATCCAGTGACTCTTTGAAAGCAGATGACTTAGATGATTCGTGTATTACTATCAATTTACCCAAAATTACTGCATTTGCAAATGATCATGTTACAAATAAGATGAATCCACATTCATTCTATGAAAGTCCTGAGTCAAAAGTGACAATACAGGTATTTTCTCGTTAACTTTTGATTGCTTCTAGTGTTTGAATTTTTTTGTCCGTGCTTTTTTTCCAAAGCATTGTATGTATCAAACATTATCATTCACTGGTGATCAATTCATCGTTTCCGATGACTGGAATGTTTTATGGTAATGATGTATTGTCGAATCATATACTCCTATTAAAAGTCATTTTCAACTTTTTACACAAACTTCAATACAGGATTACTGAACTGTCCTACTTTATTACTTTCAACATATATCGACTTTCTAAACCTATGCACTTTTATGCAAGGTTTTGTGTTGATATATCGATTAGTAAAATATTCTTTTCTTAGTGTTGGTTAATACACTGAGTGCTTTATGTTATGAAATTTTTCAAACACTCAGTAGTGATCTAACCCACTAGAGTGTGTTACTGCTCCCATTTATTAAGTTAGATACTTTTGCTTGATACATTTCAGAGGTACTGCATCATTACTTCAAGTTATGAAAAATAACTTGTGATCGTTTACGAATTACTCACTTTGAGATTAGCCTATGGATAGAATCATACTTGTAACCTCTTGCTATGATTTGCTCAGTGATTCGTAACATCTGTAACATTGTAGTAAAAGCGATTTGAAGTAATCAGTTTAGGTGACAACCGATGAAGTGGTAGCATAGTAAGTAAAAATACTTGAGTATCGATTAGTAGGTTGTATATTTAAACTCCGCCGCATATACTTCGTTTTAGACCATATAGTATCTTAGTCCCCATACTTAAATCGGGGCTTAAAGCAGAACATACAAATATATCCCTAATATACAAGTTTTATTATTGGAATTATTTGAGTCAGTCAACACTAGACTGTGGATATATGTTTTGTGATTTTTCTCTCCCATCAGCCGGTCATATTGTCTACCATTTTAAAGTAAGTTGTGCCTACTTAGAGATTCGAGTCATACAGTACGATAATTTTTTTATTTAGTATTAACTAGTGTAAAGTAAAGGAAGTGAGTTTCAAGGTTTAACTGTTCCATCTCATGGTGTCTTGAGGACCATCGTGTTAATTGATTCCAGTCCTGAAATGGTAAAGACGATTTGTAGCTCATGTGGATTATTTTAGTGGGTATTTTTCTTAGAGGTGAATGTTTTAATTGTGAAGCTTCCTTTGTTGATCTAAACAACATCAACAGGACAACAATAGGTTGAAGGTCAACAATAACCAATCAACATCGACAGGACAAACTGTCAGTCATTTGCAGAAAAATTCGAATACCTCACTACTACCTAAATTTTGTTTTGATGATATTGTTGAGAAAAATAATATAAGCTTCACGATCAAACTATCTGGTTCAATCCATTTGTTAGTTGGCTGTTGGAAATTTCCTTTAACTAAAAACTCTTGGTTATTGTTTTAATAGTTCATGAGATAATGAGGACATCTCTCTCTTTCGGTGTTGTTCCACCTACTGCTGCTAGTTCGTATCTATTCCAAGTTACAAGCTACAGTTTTTTCCTCATTAAAAAACGTATAAAGAGGAATATTTTGAAAGCGTCTCAGTTTATGTATATATATTCTTAGTTATAAGGTTAAAATCTAAATCGGTTTCATTAAAAATGGTTACGAATAATAACCGATATTATTTCTACATACAATCAACCAAAGTTGATTTAATATAGGAAAATTCAATATCTGCTTCTAACTCACCATTGTTACTCTAGAGCTAGTTGCCCCATACTGCTGTTTTATGGAACATCACTCCTTTTTTCAGATATTTGGCTTAATTTTAATTTCCATTTGTAATTTTTAAAACATTCGAATTGTAATCTGTATAATTTGAACATTGCTTCATGAAACCACCGTCTTTAGTAGGGTTACAAGAGCTCATCAAAAAATACTTTATTGATCCAAATGTAATTTTTGATAACTTTTATCTCGTCTCGAATAGAATAATACAGCACCTGATTATGGCGTTCATTCACGTTGTTCTTTTTACCCACTTTTGCGTGAGTTATAAAGAATTTACATTGTTACAAGATAGTTTGCTTATAATTTTGTTCTTTTATATTTTATTCTGTTTATGATTCGATTATTTATTATTACTGTCATAATAGATTGAATATCTGTTACCCTAGTTAGTGATTGATAATATGCTAACTAAACAACTGTCACGTACTCTATATACGGATACATATGTTCAGTTTTATTTAAAAGTTATGTAGTACCCTGGTTTATTCACACGTTATATATCGTATTTCATTATTATTGTACAGGGAAATGCTAATCACTCATTAAATAATGAAACACCTTCCACAATTGTTAAAGGCCCCAATAAATTGCTACCTGGGGAAAAACAACCTTTTTCGGACAGTACAATTCAGCACTTAGTTGGTCCTGAGAAAAAACATCAAACAAATGATGAAGTGAAATGTATTCATCTTAAAAATGAGTACATCACCAATGACGTTAGAGAAAGTAGGGTAAGTAATTCTTATTTTGACATAATCACTGAATAATTCATTGCATTCATTATGTAATATTGTGGTGTGTGCTACTGATGTAATCAGCTACGTTAGCACTAAATTGTTTTGAGCTTCTATCATTCATAGCAGTGGTATCAATGAACAGTTTTCCTAATTTTCTCATCATCAGTTGGTAATTATTCATCTGAAATAACATCCGTTTTGTTTACCTCAGTAGTTAGCATTGTTTTATTTATTTCATCCAATTCAGATTAGTGAAGGTTTACTATCGTTTTTGGAGCATGAATCAAGCTTTCAACAACAAGAGATAGTGGAACAGTTACGTCGTCAGATCTATGAAATAGAAGAGAAATTTGCTTTGAAACATGATGCATTAGTCAAATCTGAAACAGCTTTTCATGAACTTAAATCACAATATGAAGATCTTTCTCAAAGACTGGTATGTAATAATGATATGATAGTTGGCTAAATTCATTTCTTTAACACCTGTTTAATACGCTTACTTTGTTTTTCTATCTCTGTGTACATCATTACATCATCAATTTGTATCATATAAGCCTTACAGTTTTGTTAATTATTCTAATTATCAAAAATAATGATTAGAAGACAACGGGAGTTTTAATCTGTTGATCTCAGATTCGAACATTGAGCCACATTTAAGACAAAACCCACATCCTGGATTTCACTGCTAGCCACCATCCATCTCTGCTTATAATTTAGGGAATAGTAGAAAATTGTAGGACTACTGGCGGTTTCTGATTGACTCAATGTACTAATAGAACATTTTGACTCTGACTTACGTTTCATCTGTATCATTTTGTAATAAAAGTCAATGTACTAAGACTTGTGCCATATCAGTACAATCCGTTCAGGATGGACATATGTCAACACAAGTTGATAAATTGCCGTCATGAGTGCTAACAACAGGAAATTACAAACCTTTATTATTACTCTTATGTTAATTGATGGAGCAATGGCTTAGTGATTTAGGCGTGTGATTTTCAGCCGCTAAATTCCCAGGTTTGATACCCACTCCACCTACTTCGGTTTGCGGAACTGGGTAGTATCATTACCACTTACACCTTAAGTGTGGTTGATATCCGATTATCTAGTGGGTTAGCTAATTTAAAATATGTTATATCACTTGCAGAACTCAGTGCTTACCTGAACTTAGTAGCTCAGTGAATAATGCATTGGCCATTTTATGTAAAAAGGACTGGGTTCCAGTTTTGTGGAATGAGTATCAACACTGGAATGTTGTGGATACATCCAACTGACGAGTTCTGAATAAGACGAAACGTGTGTACTTCCTCCATTGTGAATTGCATGCCTAATATATTAGTCAACAGCAGAATGTTACTAAAATCATAACTCATGTTCCATTTAAACAAATAATATTGTTTTCATTATATCAGATTTCACAAACCAATGAATTGCATCAGTCTAACTTAAAATTAACTAAAATGAAACAATTACATAATGAAGAACTGAAAATTTGCAGTGATGATGCACAGAAGCGTATTGATCAAATAAAAACTGATTTAAACGTTGCATTAGAACAATATAATGCATTACTTGCTCGTGTACCGAATACTGACATGAATGTTCAAACATCAATTATTGTTGAGCCAAGTATTCATACAGATTCGATTTCCATCCAAACTTCTTTGTATCAAATGAATGAATTATCTATGCAGGTATGTATGGTGATCCAATTAATAGATATTTATGTAAAATAAATGCATTATTGAGATTACTTCTTATTGTCGAGAGGTTTTTTTTGAAAAGGACGAAGGATTTTTTGGGTATTAATTTACAAGGAATAATAGATAGTTCAATCACCTTGGGCTTAGATAAATAGACTGGCACCTTCACATTATCCAGATAAAAATAGAGTTTGGAAGTCCAGCTCGTAAACTCTACTTTTTCTATCTAGTTGTATTATACATGGTCGTTAAAAACGGATGACATGAGTAAACTTCCCAAAACGTTCGTTGTTTGAATAAGTTACCAATGTATGTTTCATTTGGGATACAGAATATACATATATGTATATTCAGTTACCAGTTAACCTACGAACGCAACTTTTTCAAGCATGTTGAAATATTTTCGAAGTCAGCCACACAAAAATATGGCATTGTTAATCAATCTAAGACCGTATGAAAACAAACCATCACGAGATATTTTTCTTCTGTTATCGGGACCATTTTGTCCTTTGGACATTTTTCCCATCATCTTGGATACGACATTATTCTTGAGGTAATTTATCGAAACGTAGCAATCAGTCAGTTTCCATGAATCAGTCAGTTTATACTGAAACGTAATTACCGTTGTCATAAATATGTCTTCTCCAGTTATGTGAAGTTTCGTCCTTCGAACTGGATTTTATACAGATGATCTTGATCAGAAGAACAATGGAAGCTTCACGATTAAACCATCCAACTTGGAGAACAAAACTGTACTGAAATCATCTATTCGAGCTACAAATCTTCTCAAACATTCCAGATCGTAGATGTTTATTTATTTATTTGAACACATAAATATTGGAACAAGGGGCACCAAATATATATGCGCCACACGAAACAATGAGAATGGGAAGAGAAAAAGAAGGTAAGGTGCGTATAAAAAAAAAGAACAATAACAATCACAGATTGGTGTAAGGTAGTGTAATAATAATGATAATAATAATGGGGAGACGGAAAGTTACAGTCAGAAGAGATCTTTCAGATAGAACCACTTTTTATGAAAAAAGTAAACAAATGTTACATCAGGATCGTCACTGGTTTCTATTCTGAGACATGTTTGATAACATCTGTAGCCACTATGTTGCATCATCTCTCGGACCCCAGCCAGTGAGTCGTGAAGGACCAACACAAGCCAGCCCTTTGCAGCTTTCTTTCATATCACGACACCATGTCATGCACTGATCACCTCTCCGCTTTTCCCAACCAGTCCCAGGGTCGGCAAATAATGCACGACGTGGAATTCTCTGGGACGACATTCGTAGAACATGTCCAAGCCACCGAAGTCGGTGTCAAGATGGTGACACCAATTGAATTATCGTCTCTGCACCCGAACACACGATGCCGAACCTCTGCATTACTAACATGGTGTTGCCACTGGATGTCAGCAATCCTTCGGAGACATTTATGATCGAACACAGAGAGTCGTCTAACATACTCAACTCGGAGAGGCCAGGTTTCACAAGCATAAAGTAAAACTGCTCTCACCGACGCGTTGTAGATCCCACATTTTACAGCCAGACTGACATCACGAAGGCACCAAAGATGGCCCAGATTGGCATAAGCCGCTCTGGCTTTGACTATACGTGCATTAATCTCATCACTCACACCCCCACCAGCACTTATGCAGCTACCTAGATACACGGAGTAGACCGACGGGCTTCGATGAGTTGTAAGGAGCCTGAAAAAAACCCGGTGCTTATAAGTGGGACGTTTCGCGAACACACAACTGACTGTACCCGCCATTTTCATGGCGTCATGCAACTGCAGCCAATGCTCATCTATACTTTTCAGTGGAATGGTAGCTAGCCTAGAGGCTAGCATGGTTCGATACTTACTTGCAACAGAAGTTGCAACCAACTTTCTAACATCAATCCGTTGATGGCGGTCACTTCGTTGGCCACTGAAAAGTAAGGTAAGATTGACGCAGACCATAGCATGGTCAGAGTCCAGATAGGTACTCCAAGAGGAGCGGCAGTTTTGTACACAACCACGCCAGCGGTAGCTGATCGCGATGTGATCGATCTGAGTCCAGGCTTGAGATGCAGAGGGAGGACGCCAGGTGGCACATCGGCGATGACTGTGCTGAAAGTTAGTGCTAGCCAGAAACAGGTTGTGGTCCTCGGTCCTCGTTATCTGTCCTGCGACCAACAAGACCCCATCGGCCACCTAAACGACTCTCTTCTGTGCCTAGACGCCCAACCTGAGCATTCAAGTCTCCGGCTAGTACTACAATATCTGTCGAACGCACTTTCTGGAGAAGAACAGATAACTGGTGGTAAAACTCATCCTTGATTGCATCCGGGCTGCAATCTGTCGGAGTATAGGCCAAGATGACGAAAAGACATCGTTTCTCATGCCGATTTCTTCTCACTTTGATGGAACTTTCTAATCTAACAGCACATAGTCGACTGTTGATGGGGATCCAATCGATTAGTGCTGCCTCAGCTCTAGCGCTTAGTGCGACACCAACGCCAGCAAGACCAGACGATGATGCCACAGGGTCCCCGGATAAGCGCACGTAAAACAAGCTTTTTGAAGCGACTGATGGAGATCGAATTTGTAGTACTTCGCCAGAGTCTTGAATACGGGTCTCGGATAGACAACAAACAACAATATTAAGACTTTCCAAAGACATAGCCAGCCCTATCTGTTGTCCGACCTGCATAAGTGTGCGAACGTTGAAGGCAGCTAGTTCGAATGGTGCACGTGGTTTCAGAAAAACTGCTTCAGTATTCGTATTTGGTGGTAGAATACAATTTTCAACCGGACAGTGACTCGAGAATCGAGTTTCTACCATAGGCGAGCTGCTGTCGAAGTCGAAAAATGTGGATACATAAAGTGGGAATAAAAGAATGAATAAATGACGTAGTAAGTAATAGTAATAATAAAATGAGTCGTTTGACTGTTGTTCGACGGAAGACAAGTATTTTCCATAAATATCGTCATTTCATTTGATTTGTGTGTGGTCTGTGCTACTACAACCGCGTGCCCAAACTGAAGCAAGTGGTTTTCTTAGGGGTCCACACCCCGAGCCTTTGACCTAAATTGTTATGACCTTGGATGTCTGATTTTTCTATCACACGATTTATATACCAATCCGAATACGAATTATACGAATCTTCACACTAGGCCAACCAATGACGTTCAACCGGTGTTGGCAGTTTAGCGTCCTTATTGGTCCTATGTCCTCTGAGCCCTTCCACTTGAGTCCAGAACACAATACCAGCTTCGAATCAGAGCAGATCGTTTATTTCAGACATACTCGGTTTATATATCAACCAGACAGACCACAACGTACCATAAAATGGAAAATAACATATGTACACAAATAAGCCAAAAAGTGGCTGTGAACGAGGGTGACAGTAATTAATAGACTGAGCATAGCTTAAGAACCGTAAATCGTACAATAATAAATTATGGGTCAAAATAAAGCTTACAATAAGAGGAATATAAATATACATAATCTAATTATTCAATAGTTTTACAATAAGAATATTTATAGAATGTTAGTCCATTAGTAGTCCTCGGGAGTTAACTGTAATTTAATCTTCACTGGGTTATAACGTAAATGTCTGACCTACTAGGCAGTAGAACATCGTGAGGAGATGCAGTCCCATGGTAGCCGGTGTTCAACAAGTGGTTCATACATCATTCTCCTTCGATTTTTCTGTTTAGTATAGTCCAAGAGTTATGTACCTGTTGCTCAAACTACCGAACTCATTATAAAGAACCCAAAGTAAGGGATCTCAGAAAGCGAAAGCGAACCAATTGTCATATTCTATTTAACACCGGCTAGACAACTGATATTAAAAATCCTCTTCATACGTATTTTGTTCACTTGGTTGTTCAAGACTACTGGGTTCTATGCTTTATTTTATTTAGGTTTAGATGGTTCTTGTTGATAATCCTAGACCGTATATTCCTTATTTAGCAATTCGTTAAACGCAGTGTTATGTTTATGTTCCTTTCAACTTATTACACTTTCCAGTGATTCCATAATTCACCGTATGTAATCATTTGAATTAAAGTGTACCATATGTATCATATGGAACAAACTGCAGTGATATAAGCACAAAAGGATTATTTATTTTATTATAGTTTGTTTCATTTTATAAGTTGTGTATTTCGATAAATTCATCTTTGTTTGTAACCAAGTTAATTAGATCACTTCAGTCTGGTTATCTGACCTGAAAACAAAGCAAATTATAGTACCAGTAGTCGCTAAAACATCCAAGAATTCTAATCCCTGTTTCTTATGATCAACTTCAAGATAAGTTGATAGGAGGTTTTACATTTATTGTCAAAATATGTCGTATTTATTCATCTTGTCTATTTAAAATTGCATCATGTAATGATTGATCTATCAGTTTATATATGTTGTCTTGTTTTTTAAATTTTACTCAGGTTAGCTCATTGAGTCTTGGAGTTTCAATTGGGATTCAGACAGAAGAGCACAATGAGGTAGATGCCTCAAAATCGGTGTGTACAATTAATGCTTCTATTCCTCACCAGGATGAAGAACTAAATGAAAACAATAGCACATGTATATCAGAAAACCCGACAAATCAAGTTAAACGAAACCTTCGGAATGCTTCTCGTCTACGACTTAAGCAAAATGGCGGCCGGTTAACTCAAAGACTTGGTCCACCAAAACTTCCCAATTTACCTTCTCCTATTCCTTCCTCTGTTTGTTTATCGGATAGTGAATTAGAACTTAGTGTCACTTTACATGAAGAGGAGGTTGCTAAAGAAAATATCAATAATACAAGTGATGAAGAGACAGACGAAAATGATGATGAGGATGATGTACGCAGTTGTAAATCTGAACCACGAAACACTAGTCGTCGACCTGTACGTCATAAACAAGTAATCAAGACACTTGAGAAAGCATCTACAAAAGAACAAAAAAGACAAACACGTTCCACTACTCATAGACGTCTTCCACCTCTAGCCGAATCAACTCAATTATTACCAGATTCATTTTTCCAAGAACAACTTGATGAAGCATTAGAAAGTGTTGATATTGAACTAAAAAAAACGGAACAACGAAATCTTCGACAGTTACATTCACGTCAAGCAACACGTAAAAGACGTTGATTAGTGTTGTTTTTTGAAAATTTACATTACTGTAAATATTGATTCTTATTTTTTCCCTTTTATTTTTTCTCAAATAGTACATAATAAGTTTTAGCATTAGGTTTATCTAATTTTATTTTGATAGAAAATGAAAGATTTGACTATTTATTGTATGCATTTGTTTCAGGTTCAGAACTGTCATGTTAACATTGTATTATATACCTAAATGTAGAATTTTGCGCTCATTTCCCCACTACACTACTCCTACATGATATATTTACACAGTCATTATTATTATGTAAGCAAATTTTATCTCTATTCATTTGTGTTTATAAACATTTATTAAGTACATCAAAATAGATGAGGAATATGTCTTTCTAGACAAATCTTGCATTGTAATACTGATATTTAAAAAAAGAATTTATACCGGACCGTAAGACCATCTCTTGTGTAATCGAATAATTCTTTCAATATATAAATATATTCAGCCAATTATTTGAGAGTCACTCGGAGTTTACGTGAATTACAATGTGAACTGTTGTTCGTAGTAATTTTAAGCCATACATGAAGTTTAAATAAAAGTTTAGTTGAACTATTTTTCAATGTTTTTGAACGTTTCACAATGAAAGAAATCTTTTCATGTTGATTCAAGTAGATGCTAATGTGTGTGTATAAAGAGTATTTGTCGTGGTGCATATATCAAGGAAATGTATCATACTAAAGATCTCAGTTGAAAAAAATACTGACTCATTGGTCTAGAGGTTAAGTGTTCGCGCGTGAGACCGAAAGTCCTGGGTCCGAACCCCCCACTGGATCATGGATAAGCACTGCTGAGGAGTCCCATACTAGGATGAAGCGGTCATCCAGTGATTCCAAGTTTTCAACGGTGGTCTAACATTGACCGATTCATGATCTGAATCAAAACTTAACAATTGCCATAACCCGTTACTGAGAAAAGTGCTTGTATAGGTTTTCGTCTTGGTGTTTCTTATTGTCAAAGATACACTTTATTATCAAATACCGAGTAAACAATACTGGGAATAGATATAGGATACCTGACAATGATGGCAGATCAGTTGATATAGTTGTCAATCTTCGTTTATTGAACTGGTTGCAATATATATTACATATGCGCAATCATCGCCCATTTTGATGTCCAATGTTAACTGCTGTAGGTGTGGGTTGGAATAAAGCTAAGTTTGTCAAACCAAGATATGGCATCACTCCTTGAAGTCACTAATTGTCGATCAGAGCCATTCTGTCAGATGCTGAATTAATAGTCAGTGTTCACGATTAGTTGTTGGGTGATATGGGACAGGATCGGATACAGACGTATCCATTCTTAGTCTCCCCTCAAATCTTGGGTTTTAAATTTATGCTTTCTATTCCATGAATTCTCGAATCATATTCTCTATGCGTAATCTTTCTTATTTACAACCACTGATACTGGTAAGAAGTCTATCACTCTGGGATTTACCCTGATGGTTTCATTCCACTTTGTTGGTATGGTATGCCAAATTAAACTGATCTACATTTGTGTGGCATTCTACAATCATTATGACTGAGTGAGACGTTTAAAAAAGTCCAAAGTAGTTCCTACGATATGATCATAGATTAACCCATTGAAAATCTTACCGTCAACGTACAGTTCTTTCATGGAAAAATGGTTACAATCCATCTAACTTGAAAAATTTATTTTAGTCCGAAAGCTATTAATTCAATGTTATGCTTCGCTCCTAACCCTACATATAACTGTTAATTCTCGAAAGAAATCGTTTGCGAGACTTCAATTTATGAACGACCTTTGAACGAATCTTAAGTGACCTTGATAAATATTGGCCAATCGGGAAACAGTAGAGTAAAAATATGCTGTACAAAACTAAAGAATTAAAGCGGATACACTTCTTATACGTGGTTCAAAAACTTGTCAAGGTTAGAAAGAGGTTCTGAAATCGTAATGCATATGGTAGAGGGAATCACCTATAATACTGATTAAAGCCATTACTACTAATACCAATAATAATAGGCCTCTGGAGCCACTATAAGGTGACAAAAACTCTCAGCCTCGAGCATTTAGCTTCAAAGTTGTTTGTGTGCACTCCGTTTGTTAAGTCCACAAAATGTCGCTTATGGATAACCGAACGATGCACATAACTAAGTCTATGGAAGCATCTGTACGCTCTCCAATCATCCGCATATATTGTAGTACCCGGCTGCAGCCATTGTTACTGATACTTTTATTATCCAGTTCTCAATAACTCGCAATTCGCCTTAGTCTCAATCTAGACAGGAAAAAGTCCTATTCTAGCAGATTTCTTCCAACACATTATATCGAAAGACAGTATCATAACGGTGGTCTACACAAGGTTCACAAGTCATTTGATTACCACAATCACAAATAAAGGAATTTCTTGGTAGTCCCATTTGTTGCAGCCGATCAATTATCGCGTTTTTCTAAAATCTGCTGTGAACCGATCGTACGTTAGCATCAGGTACTAAAATTGGCGCCGTGACCTTGAAATTGCTCAAACGCTTCTGACTGGCTCGTCCATAAATTATAGTTTCGCCAAATCATTAAATAGCCATGATTAACAAATACTGTTGTACTGAATACAACTTAATTAGATTTCATGTTAGCATAACCTCTATTAAAAGTGATATGAACAGAGAAACAAGAAACCTTGAAAAACTACGGAAGCTATTTCTCAGGACGTTATTTCATTTAATTCAAAGCTTGTAAAATAGTAACATTTATTTTTGTTCCTAGTCTATTCTACAGATCATAGGCTTTCGTTTGATGTATGATTCACTGCTATAGCCTTTTCTGTTCCGAAGCTATTGTAATTTAAACATATTATTTTATACTCTATTTTCTACGCTAATCCCCAGTTTAGGGACACAATTGTATTTTCCTAATTATTATACGTTGTGGTCGGGTTAGTCATCTATTTATTCATTTATCTTTTTACACTGATCTGAAATCAGGAACTAGATCACAATTAGGAATAAATCGAGTAGTGTTCCAGTTGACTTGTCTTCTCTGTACCTCACTTCGAACTCACGCATAATAGCCTCAAGGTTAAGCTGATCAGGTTATCGCGTCAATGTCTTAATCTCGATGAGACAAGTTATCCTCAGCACCAGAAGTGGGTAGACAAATCAAGGACGTAAAAATAGTTTGAACGAAATCAAACTTTAACAACTGTTTGATTAAATTTTCAATTAACTAGAGTTTATTATTACACTACAAAATTTATTGAGAATCATCATATGAAATAACTTAATGTTATTAATAACTAATTTTAACAGCTCATAGCAAAAGGAAAACACTTAGAAATCATTATCAACTATCTGATATATATATATATATATATATATATATATATATATATATATATATATATATATATATATATATATATAGGTCCCAAAACCAAGGTTAGACTTAATAGTTGATCACTGAATTAATCATAAACATATTTTTATTACATGCCAATAATTAGAAAAATTATATTTCTGATGTTTCGTAACTTAAGTCACTTCTTCAGAATGATATCGTAAATTAAGTTATGTAACATCAAAAATACAATTTTTTTTACTCATTGTGATATAACAAAAATATGTTTATTATATTCATTTAAAACATAACTGTCATTATTATTATTCAATTTGTTTAATATAAAATACAGTTATTACTTACAAAATAAACAAAGTAGTATATTAATCCATATAATTTATTTGTTTATATATATATGTATATGTATAATGTTCTCTTATTATTTTGTAGAAAAATAGTACAATTTTTGCATAATTTGTTTTCTCTCTCTTAATGAAAGACTTGGTGTATGACTGTTCAATCTTGATTGTGTTTTTGTTGTTTGTTTGTTTGTTTTACAATATTAACAATAAAATAATTGAATGAATTCATGAAAACTATACAGGAATTAATCAAATGCACATCAAAACATTGTTTGCTGGTTTTCTTTTTTTCGTTTTATCTTGTTTTCCTAACTGTAGTACAAAAGAAAAAAAATTAATACTACATTATATGTTAGGATCGATGAAATATAGGACTTCCAGTAAATGATGTTATACTTTCACCAAGATTACTTAATAATTTATTACGATTTGTAGAACTTGTTAAACTTCCACTAGATCGAGCTTCTTTTTTAACACATTGTGTTGTTTCTTCAACCTATGAAATGAAATATAAACAATCATGAAAATGTATTTAGTTGTTTGAGTTTATTATTCTTTAATCATTTATTCCATTAATTTTCTACTGTAATACAAGGTCTATGATTTGATGGTACATAGAACGATATTAATAGTCTGGTCATATTATTAGCGTTATTGATTAATTGTATTGATCCTTTTTTTGCATTACATTCTCTGTTTATAACTTTTTCTTTTCTCAATAGTTGAGATCATGAGTCGATTGAAACTAGATCATCATGGAAAATCTGAAAGCACTGCTGAGGAGTCCCATAGCAGGACGAAATGGTCGTCCAGTGCTTCCATATTTTTTCATGGTAGTCTAGCTTCAATTGACTCATGATTTCAACTATTCAAATTACTATAATCTCCACAAAACCCCTTATGAAACGTTTTTTTCTATTAATTGATGTCATTATTATTTTGGTATCTTTAGTGAATAGTAAATTATGGGATTTTGAACGAATGCATATTTATACTATATTCTATATTGTTTATAACGTAATAGCTTAGTTTTCAGCCTATGTACATTGTATACATAATCTTACTTCTAATTTTTGGTGATAGACATTCTTGCTTCTATTTTTATAATGAGTAATGTTTACATTCCGATCAGTTGTTCATATCTTATCTATATTGCTGATGTGAACAGGGAAACAAGAAGCCCTGAAAAACTACGAAAGCTATTTTTCGGAACGTTATTTCATTTTAATCAAAGCTTGTAAAACATTGACATTTATTTTTGTCCCTATTTTATTCTACAGAACATGAGCTATCGTTCGATGTATCATTCATTGCCGAACCCCTTTTTTGTTCCGAAGCTATTGTAATTTAAACATAACATTTTGCACCTCATTTTCTACTCTAATTCCCAGTTTTGGACACAATTGTATTTTCCCAAATTACTGCACGTTGTGGTCGGGTAAATCACCTATTTATTCGTGTACCTTTTTGCACTAATCTGAATTCAGGGAATTCACAGGAAATCAGTATATCGGAATAGGGTGAATAGTGTTTCAGTTGTCCTGTCTTCTCATTACCGTGCCTGTCAGCCAATCAGGTGATAGAATAGTTTTCTTCTCTCTACCCCGCCTCGAGCTCACGCGTACTAGCCTCAGGGTTAAACCGGTCAGCCTATTACGTCAAGGTCTTAATCTAGAGTAGACAGATCAAGGTCATAACAACTGCTGATTGATATCTATTTCAATTTACTAGATTTCACTGTGGAGTGTAATTATTATTTATGTGAACAATGTTACCTCTTTAGATTCTAGTTTCTATGTTCGTCAGTATATTTACATTAAATAACCGATCCACTGGATTTAAGCTTACCGGTCTGAATGTTTCTTATTCTTTGTTGATATCTCGAATTTTTTTATTCTATGCGGTTTTATGGGACACCGTTAAGTAATTATATATTGTACCAAAGCAATAGTTCAATGCTTTCTAGTTTTCAAGTGTTCTATATTTTGGATTAAAAATTACTAAATTACGCTAAATCTTAAAATACAGTTTGTAAGTTAACTTATAGAACATAATAAACTATTTGATGCTCCACAACCCTATACTGTAGTTATCATGAACTCATTACTGATTAACTCCGAGAGGTAATTCTCACAGTCCTAGTGAGAAGCCGTGATCAGTGGAGTTCAATCGTGTCGAATGTGAGGCAGTTGCCCACCGAAGATAATGGAAGATGGTCGCGCAGTATATTGGATTGTTTGAAGCTCGACATTAACACCGTCGGATGCCGCATCAGTGAATTAGAAGTTAGGCGTTCGCTCGAGATTGTATGTCCTAGTTTCGAATCTTGGATGAGCACTGCTGATGAGTTCCATACTAAGACAAAACGGTCATCTGGTGCTTCCAGGTTTTAATGGTGGTCTAACACTGATCGGTTCATGGTCTCAATAAAAACAACCTCCACAACCCTATACTGATAAACTCTCCGAAACAAACTTTTTTACTCGCTACAAAGTTTCTGTAGGTTCTGATTATTGCTGATAAGTGGGTCGACATTTGTCATAAACCATAATTATTTACTTGTAACTAAGTATATTTCGTGTTGGACCGCATTGATTTGTTCCATTCCAATCATATTGTCTGCTTTTTCTACAAATTAACTACTACTGTACTGCACTACAACTGATTGGTTACCACTCAGTGTCCAATCAGTTGTAAATAATTTGGTTTTATTGGTCAGTCGCGGCCGGAATATCTCAGTGGTTACGTTTCAGATTGTAAAACTGGGTGACGTGAGTCTTAGTCTCACAGGGAGCATCAGTGCCGATCGATTTTACAGGTTCAGCATTGTTTTCTGCCGAACATCTTCAACTACTTAACACTATGATGCACTATTTGTTAATCATATTTATTTTGTTATCATGAGACATTTATTGTATGTTGTCGTGCTCACCTGAATTCTTTGAATAACTGTTTGATATACAATAGTATTTAATACATTTTGAGGCAAGCCTTGTAATTCAAAGGCACTGAAAATTTTCTGCAAAAAAGTAACAGTAACATAAAAGTATATGGTTAGTTGATGGACATGATATAAATAGATTCCATAGATTATTACTCATATAAGCAATGTTAATTGGTGTTTGAAGCGATAAATGCTGGGTTTGTGTCTCAATGAAGACGTCATCACAAAGATGCAGGTACAACCGACTGAAAAGCACCAAGTCAGATGAAATGCTCATCTTGGATTTTTCTTCTGACTTTTGGCTAAATGGAAATATCGGAACGATTTACACATATACCAAAAGAAGCTAATTAATTGTAGTCTTGAATATCAACAATGGGAACAAACAAACCCTTACAAAAAATGTAAAGTTCAGCTTGGAGATCCATCTACGGAAAGTGATGTAGCAACCTAGTGGTCAAGTTCTTGATTTTAAAAGATGGTTCATAGATTTGAAACCCGTTCACATCTAATTCAGTTTTGGCAAACTAATATTTTAAATACCCCTAATATGAAGCCGGATATATAAACCTCTACTGGATAAGGGGTTGCTTGCAACTTAAGGTTCACAAATTCATTACAATTCATCAATCTTTCATTCTTAATACTGTTTATCTAACTCTTAACGTACTATTCCCGTGCTTTCATCATCTATGTACAATTGAATGTAATACACACAATACATTGCAATTTTGATTCGGCTAGACTAATGACTACATTGGAACGTAATCGATAGAACCAGAAGAACATGAGTTTATAACCGAGAGACCAATTCATATTATCTCAGAAATTATTTCAATTGAATCTTTCAAATAGTAAGATCTTTCTCTTTTAATATAATTTCAAAGAAAAATCTTCAGTATGATTCAAAATAGTTCACATACTTTAACAATAATTGAAAGACATTTAATTTGATGTGGATGAAGTAGAATACTTTTACGTTGAATTAACCAATCGTAAATAGCTTTCATTTGACGTGTATACCATATCTATAAGTGAAATAGATAAATCAAATTTATACACAGTTTAATTGTGTGAAAAATACTACACTAAACTAGTTCATATTAATACATATCAATATGGTATTGAATTCGTTGACTGCTGCATCATATCTCATATCATGTATATATGTTAAAGCTTATATCTACATAAGCTGGAAAATGTATAAACCGAATGGCCCAAAATTAGCACGTTGATGTTATGAAATTGTTATGCCCCGATAAGAATAATGAGTGGTAATTTTTTGGATCCATTTGTGGACCAATATTATGAGTATATTTCTATCGTATAATTGTTAATTAAATAAACTATTCATATTCATGTCTCTCTTATCATAAGCTTTATTTTAACCTATAAACTGTTATTATACAATTTTCCATTCTTGAATTATTCCCTGTCTGTTAATCACTACCTCCCTCATTCACAGCCACATCTGGCTAATTCTTGTACAAATGTTATTTTCTATTTTATGGTACGTTGTGATCTGTTTGATTGGTTTATAAACCGAGTATGTTTGAAATAAATGATTCATATCGCAGAGGCTGAGATTGGTGTTCTGAACTTAACTGACTGAACTAGACAGGAAGAGAGACTAGTCAGGACTTTAGGCTGCTCTTTCGTGTTGTATGCGTTATTGATCCGTTCGATAATTTCGCTGCTCTCTGATTGGCGGTATCGTTGCGTTATCCAATATACAGGGCACATAGGTTCACAAGTTATAACATAAACTTACACTTTTTGTAATGGCTAGTATTTTAATCGGTTGTTTAAAGTTACTGAAATAGAATGAGGATAAAATATATGGCTTTTCAATTGGAAATTTATTTTAATCAATAGTCTACTTCCTTATGACGTAATAATTTATGACTGTACAGATTTACTCAGTATGTAATATTTTACTTAATAAGAATCTATTTTTATTTCATCTCTATACATAGATCTAATGAAAGCTATTCATCTTATTTTTTTTAATACTTCAATAATACTCCTTAAATGTTAAACATCTCTGTGTAAAACATACACATTTTCAATAGTTGAGATCATAAGTCAATTGAAGCTAGACCATCATGGAAAACCTGGTAGCACTGGAAGACCGTCTCGTTTTATTGTTGGACTCCTCAGCAGTGCGCATCCACAACCTTGCCTCGCGAGATTGGAACCTAGGATCTATTAGTTAGTTTTGGAATAATAACTCACTGATGACAATGGCGGATGTGTCGGTCAATTTCGTGAACCAGTTGAACTTAGACATTAACACCAATGGATGCCGACTCAGTGGTCTAGAGGTTAAGCGTTCGCGCGGGAGACCGATAGGTCCTGGGTTTAAAATCTCGCTAGGCGGGATCGTGGATGTGCAATGCTGTGGAGTCTTACAACAGAACGAAACGGCCGTCCAGTGCTTCCATGTTTTCCATGATGGTCTAGCTTCAATTGACTCATGATCTCAACTATTCAACTTACTACAATATCCACAAAACCCTTTTTGATATACAAATTTTCTTTTAAATAGGCAATGAAAACTTCAATCTAATCAGCAGACCGATTAAAGCTAATGCAACAGGTAGTTTATGTTATGGTATTCTCATTCCATAGAGTTGATCAAATAATTTTAAAAAATAATCAGACTTATAATATTTATACAATAAATTCCAATTAACACTTTCTTGGTTCAATAAAAATGACCTCTTTCTTAAATATACAAAGTTACTGTTCATTGAAGTGTGATAATTAGGTTTATGAAAAAGAGATTTGCCAGACAGTATCTGGTTCCATCATTGTACGATCTTGATTTTCATCAAAATATTTGATGACACAAAATGCATTTTCATGAATCCATGATTTCAAACTGCAATGAATTCAGTTCACTGTTTAAAAGCTATAAATAGTTTAGGACGAGTTAATGAATTCAACAAATGAAAAGCATGGCTTATGATTAAACCTTAGATTTATAGAAGAATAAACTATATTGTGACAATATTTCGTAAGATCATCTTTCAATCGTAAATTACGATTATATCATGAAATTTAATCACGAAGTATGGATTTTCTATTGACTTCACAGACTGTTATACATTAGCTTGGTTGCCCTCCGAAATTTTATAATGAACTTATAAATTAGTGAAAAAATAAAGTATACATAAAATAGGCTTCAGTCACCTTGACCTATCAATGGATTCATCTTCAAAATCTAATACTTGACTTATTGTACAAAGAAGTCAAAACTGTTTGTATAGGTGTGGAAAGGATTTACATAATATCTTAACGACTTGGTAAAATGTAAAGGAAATTCAAGATATCCATTCAACGAATATTGATCACAGTTGTAAACATAAACAACTAAAAATCGATTTGCTTCGAGAGAAAAATGTTCGATAGTCGGAGCATAATAGATTAGAATCTGGAAGTAAAATAGAACAGCTGTTTAATATCTCTCACTGTAAAACCGTTCTCCACCTCCTGTGAGGTCTTATTATGAACGTGCCTTGAAAAAAAAACAAAATGCTCCATGAAATACTATTCAACTTACTAGTTGAAATCATGAGTCAATTGAAGCTAGACCATCATGGAAAACCTGGAAGCACTGGACGACCGTTTTGTCCCAGTATGGAGCTTCTCAGCAGTGCGCATCCACGATCTCGCCCCTCGCGAGATCCGAACCCAGGACATATCAGTCTCGTGCCAGGCGCTTGACCAACTAGACCACTGGGCCTTCATCCAACGATGTTAATGTCTAACTTCAACCAATCCACATTGGGGGATCGTCGATGTGCACTGCTGAGGAGTCCCATACTAGGACGAAACGGCCGTTCAGTGCTTCCATGGTGTTCTAGCTTCAACTGACTCATGATTTCAACCAGTGAAATTTCTAAAGATCTCCACAAAACCCATTCTGATAATATTTAACTTATGTTGCATTTCTCAAATTTACGGTAATCATTAGTAGTTTTAACAATTGAATAAATAAATAAAAGACTGAAAAAAACATCAAACAACTCACTTCTAACATAGAAAGCATAGAAACTTCGTCAACTAAGTTTTCACTTAAACTTTGTAAATTTATATGAAGAAAAGTTCCATAGGCTTGACCTTCTTCATCATTCGGTTTCTATATAAATGAAAAATTGTTTATGTATATCTTTAGACGAAAAATTAGAAAAGAAATTGTCAAATCTTAGTCATATGTATTTCAGAAGATGAGACTACTTGCCAGTTGATTGAACAGTGGTAATATAGTTAAAAATTGTATTCATGTTTTAAAAAAAAGGCAATTAAGATAATATGCTTGAATAGCATTTCAAATAGCGAACAGTTATTTCATGGTGAAAATGAAGGTTATGAAGTGGCCAATGAGAATGAACTTCTCATCGTCATGTCGATAGATCGAAATATGAATTGTACCTATTAATACATACTGCACAGATTCATGCTAAGCAAACTATGATGATAATTAGTATACTGAAACATGTAAAGAATGTACCACCGTGTGATCGAATAATATCAGGTGTACATTGAGGACATTTAATCAGTATTATAACCGATGCCAAACTGATTAGCCAGTTTATAAATCTGACTTGTACCTTTACGTTTTAACAATTCCACTTTAATCTCATTAAATAAAGTATGCAAAAACTTTGTTTCTAAACATTTTGTTTTTCGTAACTTAAACTATTTACAGATGAAGAGAAACCTTTATGTTATACTAAACAAGTTGGGCTGTTCTTGTCAAGTGTCTAAAGTCAAAATAAGGCTATCCTTGTATAATGGTTGCAGTTTTAAGTATTATCGATTGATAAAAGTTTCCATTTAGTAAGTAACCCTTTAAAACCCCCCTCCAGATTATCTAAAGTATGGTATAGAAGTGATCTATGTTAAACTATAAATGCATCTCGAAATTTCTAGATATGACCGATTACCAATAGTTTTGTCATTATGTAAACAAATAGTAACTGATGCTGCTTAACATATAAATTTTTTCATATATACTATCGTAAGATAAATAAATAGAATAACAATGAATTTCATATATAAACTGCTCACTTACAGTTAATACAAGAATCGATGAAAATAGCTTATTTTCATCAAATCTTGTTAACTTCTTCAATACACCATTTAAAATAATCATACAATGATCAATAATGATAACCATCATATTTTTCTGTACACTTTCAAAGAATTCTTGAGTTTCCATATGTAATTGAGTCTGTAAATAAAGTAATAAAAAAATGAATAGTATCAGAAGGGGTTTTTTGTGGATATTATAGTAATTTTAATAGTTGAGATCATGAATCAGATCAAGCTAGACTAACACGGAAAACTTAGAAGATTTTGACGGCCATTTCTTCCTGTTGTGGGACTTCATAGCAGGAACATCCACGATCCTGCCCCGCAAGATTCGAGTTCGAATAAGAAGCAATGACTGGTGGAGTACAACCGAGTCTGTTGTGAGATGGTAACTCACTGATGACAATGTTGGACGGTGGCGCGACTTAGTGGACTGGTTGAAGTTAGACATTAACACTATTGGATGCCCCCTCAGTGGTCCAAAGATTAAGCGTTCGCGCGCGAGACCGATAGATCCTGGGTTCGAATCTCACGAGGCGAGATCGTGGATGTGTACTACTTGATGAGTCTCATACTAGAATGAAACGGCCGTCCAGTGCTTCCAGGTTTTCAATGGTGGTCTAGCTTCAACTGACTCATGATTTCAATCTGCGAAATTTCTAAAAATCTCCACAAAACCCATTCTGATAATAATAATCACCTGCTCACTAGTGACTGACTTCAGGAGACACTTCTGGAGTTCTAGTGAGAAGTCGTTACCAGTGGAGTTCAACCGAGTCTGTTGTGAGATGGTAACTCACTGATGACAATGGTGTACGGTAGCGCAACTTCGTGTATTGGTTGAAGTTAGACATTAACACCGTTGGATGCCGGCTCAGTGGTCTAATGGTTAAGTGCTCGCGCGCGAAGCCAGTAGGTCCTGGGTTCGAGCCCCGGGTGGTGCGGGGTCGTGGATGCGCACTGCTGAGGAGTCCCATGCTAGAACGAAACGGCCGTCCAGTGCTTCCAGGTTTTCAATGGTGGTCTAGCTTCAACTGACTCATGATTTCAATCTGTGAAATAATCATTAAAAACTAGAAAGTAAAAATGTATCTCTATTAAAAAAAATTGTTGTTTTCTCTAATGACTAGATTCATGATTAAATTATCAATGTTTTAATAGGAAACTATTGTCTGTGTATACAAAGAATAGTAGCATAAGAAAGTTACCTATTGATTTCATGTCGGTTAATAGTTACTCTATATCTAAAGTGTAAGGAAATTTCAAATATTGAATATCAACTGATTAGTGTTATTTGAAAGATCTAAGAGTTCCAGATTTAAACTAGTATGAGCGTACATATTGTTGACGAGTAATAGCAGTTTTCCGAACGATATGAGCTTGAAAATGCACGGAGATTCAGCAAAATCAACAAATTCAATTATTTCGTATGATTTTAAGTGTGTTTGGACTTATGGTAAGGTTGTGGACGCACTTTTCTGAATAGAACCATACTAGAATATAAAAGCCGTCCGGTATATCCTTGATTTCAACACCTGAATCCATGAATTAAACTATAATATCTAATTTGATCCCAAAACTAATTGAAATTTTCAAAATAAATAAATAATATCGGTAATGTTGTTAATCAAGTTGATCCCAACGTCTATTTCTACATTCACTACTAGATATCATTATCCGTAAGTCAACCAGTAATATACAAAATATTCCCATTCGTTCATGAAATCACACCATATCAGCATAGCGAAATGAAATCGTCAAAACAAACAGCAGATTAATTGAAGTATTAGTGGTAATAAAAAAAAAATTAGATATATAAGATACGGTTCTAGAAGTAATTACAAAGTCGTAGAATATTATAAAAAACTATAAGATAATTTAGAAATTTAGGATCTAAAGACAAAGAAAGTGAATGCATCTGTGATGTTGTAAACTACCGTGAGCTATGTTGCCTAAAGTACTCAATTATTAGTTGAAATAACCCCAAAGACACAAACCAAGTAATCTGCACCTACGAACACGGCCAAGTTCAACAATCAATAACTTCATCCACTAATGTCATGTCTTGATTTGACTGTCCCTAGCTTTCTTCCATAGACCAGCCCCACTGAACTTAACGGGCATCGAGGAAGCACACATAGATTTCTTTATAGATGTCACTTCACCAACGATCAAAGAAATCAGGATGGACATCAGACAACCAAGAGTGGGAGAGAAGCAGGACCTGACAATATACCAGCCGAAGCACTAAAGTCAAACACAGAAGTAACTGTAAACATACTTTACTTTCTGTTTAAAAATGTTTGAGAGGAAGAACAAGTGCCGACAAACTTGAAAGATACCTCATCAAGATACCAAAGAAATATCTGAGCAAGTGTGAGGTAACATACTACTATTAGTACTAGGAAAGGTTTCCAACAGTGTTGCTGAATCGGATGAAAGACTCAGTGGATGTCTAAATTCGAGGTCAGCAGGTCGGATTCCATAAAAATTTGTCGTGCACAGACCAAACCATGACACTACGAATTCTCGTTGAACAATCAATTGAATGGAACTCGTCACCATACATTAAATCCCTTGACCATGAGACAGCATTTAACAACATGTTTAGAAGAACCTGATGGAACCTTCTTCAACACTATGGAGTACCTGACAAAGTTGTTAACATCATACGGAGTCCATACGACCGAATACGCTGTAATTTCATGCATAGACGACAGCCGAGGACGCGTTTCAAGTGAGGATCGGTTTCAGACAAGGCTGTCTACGTTCCTCCTTTCTCTTTATTCTCGTGATTGACTGCATTATGTATATCTCTACCAAGGAACACATTTCGCCAGGAATCGGCAGCAGACATCAAAAGAATGAATATAAATTGGAAACAACTGGAAACGATGGCCCAGGACAGAGTTGGTAGGAGAATCCTTGTGGGTGAACTGTGCTCCTTCATGAGGGTTGACAGGCGTAAGTAAGTAAGCTTTCTTCCAACCTACTGTTAAACCAGCCATCGTGGCAACCTGATATAGGCTCTGATTTTATACACAGAGTACGTGACTCAGTCACTTAATTCAATGAACCTTCATCACCATTTCAACCTATTTCCAATCCTTATCTAGTGCTCTCGATGCTTGAAACATGCATGATTAATATTTTGAAGGTATCTATGCTCAAATATCTGGGAATTCTCTATATTTAAAAGCAATCAACAATTCAAAATAAAATATAAATTTATGGGAACAAATATATGAAATGTATCTTACTGCATTCCTAACTGGTTGACGATGTGATCGTGTAATATTATTACTAGTATTATTGATTACCATATTTACTGGATCAGTTGGATGACATAATGAAAATAAATGAGCTCTTAATTCACTAATTGTATTTAACATTGTAAAACATTCTAATGGAAGAATTAGATCCACAGTTTTGGCACATTTTCTAACTAATGATTCTAGTTCTATTAGAGTACTGTAAATAAAAATTAAATCATCATTGAAAAATAAATATAATTACAAAGTAAACCCATCAATTTACAACATAAATGCTATGATAGACTAAGACATAGGATCAGTTAAGTGGAACAAATGATCAATAATCAAATTATCAGTATGAGGTTGTGAAGATAGTTAAGTTTTTTATTCAGATCATGAATCGATCAATGTTATCTCATTTAAAGTATCATTGAAACTATGGAGTACTAGACAATTGTTTCATCCTAGTATGGGAAATGAGAGTAAATGACTGAGGCGGTTCATATATTATTAATTCAGTCATTTGTTTATTTAAACACATGAATATTGGTACAAGGAGGAATCAAATATATATGCACCACACTTCACCAATTGATTTGTGTGAGAGAGGGAATACTGCCTAAGTGTCAAAACAGAACAGTGAATAGGACTTACCTGACAGTGGCTGTATACGTGTGGCTATGTGAGAGCATTTCGAGAGGAAGAGCTGACTCTCCCCTTCCACGGCTGCAGCAGGGTATTTATAGGCCATTATTGGAAGGAGTGATCAAGTTGGAAGCAATTATATTGTTTACTAGGGTAGCATATTAATTCAGATTTATCTTATTCTATGTCTCTCTCCCTTCTACCACTATTTTGAATTTTATTAGTAATTGTATTGAGTAGTATTTTGAGAAGAAACAACTATCAGCTCCGCTTCTCATCTCTTCGTCAGTCTGCCGAAACGGATGTATAAAATATAAACATCCAAAACACTTTTATTCGACCTTGTATATACTATTGTTCTAAACCAGTAAAATCGACAGAACATATACGAAGTGATTAGGATCTATATTCCATCGACATAATTTGCTACTCGCTCACATTGAATTAAGACAGAGAGCATCTAAAAGATCAACCTGTGACGAATGTAATCTACAAATTAAACTGATCTTCATAAATCTGCATCAACAACACATACAATAGGCAAGATCAAATACCAAAAAATTTAACTAACCGTTTTACAACTTCTCGAAGCATTTGTGCACATAATATGCACACCCTTTCATCCAATGCTTCAGCTGAAACCGATTGAGGCCAATTTAATTCATGAATAAAATTTTTTAATTTATATAATCTCCATAAGAGTTCAGTAACGGTTTGGCATGTTTGACTTCCAATCATATTGAAATTACCCGATGAATATTGATATAATTCCGAACCAGTTGATGTTGTTGTTTGTGGTGTTGCTAATTTCTCTTTATTCTGAACATTTTTAGTTGAACAATTAGACGAATTCCATTCAATATCTGTATGGTGAAAAGCTGGTATATTAATTGACAAGGTTTCATTGGGTTTTCCCATATCTTCCATTTTAGTAAACGATGCTAAGGAATTGTGAACACTTAATAAAGACTCAGCTTTATGTTGTGAAATATTATTGATACGTAGTTCACTTGTACCTATTTGGAAATAAAGTAAAGCTTTTACTCAGTATGAACAGCCATTTCTTACTTGTCTTAGAATTCTTAGCAGTGCATAGTTATGTGTAAGTGTCCCATAGAGAAAGATAACTTTAAGCAATTAGTATCTAGAAGTTCACATTTTTAACTTTAATTAAATGCTGGAAGTCCTAGGTTCAACCTTCAGTGAGACTGTTACCATGCAGTCCTCAAGAGTTGTTAGGCAGTTTGAAAAAACTGACTAGCGCTTCATAAATTTCAATAATTTAACAGTAACGTATTATTTCTGGTTGTAAAAAACAATCAAGTGCATTAAAATGAATTACTAATAACAATAAATAGCTTGCCTTCATTTCTGTCTAATTTCGAGGCTGGAATCCATCGTTCATTCTTACATCCCTCTATTAATGCTTGTTCAATAGAATCCGCCATTAATCCAATATATCGATCTACCAGTGGTGTAAAACGATTAGCTAATTCATAATGAAATCGACCATTAGATAAATTAGCTGTTAGAAAAGATGAAAAATTTATAAAGTTTTACAAGACAAAAAGATTAGTATTGCAAGGATTCGCTTAAATACAATTGAATATAATCTTTATTAAACATTTGTACCGGGTAGAAGCAATTAGAGATTAAAAGGAACTGACTATATTTCTTTTAAACTCTAAGTTGGGACTTTTTCACAATGAACACACACAAACGTATTGTAGTGTGTGCTACTAAGTGATATGTATCATCAATCAAAAGTGAAATACCTGGCAGCAGAAGCCTAATAAAATCAAAGGAAATAAAACGAGAATAGTGAATGATTGTTGTGGAAATGAAGGAATAGTGAAGTCTGAGACAAGTGATTGATAATTTGCAAATGAATTATTTATTGTATGGTTCTCAGATTTTACTAAGATATTCTGTAATTTGTGTGTTCTAATGCACTTAATTGTCCTCACTTGTGTTCTTTTTCAGTACACTATGTGTGATCAAATATAGTACCATTAGAATACGATACTTTTAGTGTACAATGTCAAAAATTCATTATGATCATTAGTTCCCAACACCATACAGTTTATGATATAGTCTGATTCTTATTGAGCTATTTAAGAGGTAGCTAATAGATATATGAATTATATGTCATCATCAGATAATAATTCTTAATTCAATTAACTTACAATCATTTAATAGATAATTATTCAATAATTGAAATAAATCGAACACTTCCCAACAATCTTCTGGTAATCTATCCAATAATTCAAATAAATCCATTTGAAATAAATACCAAAAATTCTCTGTATGCTCAACAAATAAATCGTTGAACCAGGAGAATGACTAAAATAATTTCAATCAAAAATAGAGACAACTTTTAAACAGAGCACATTAGAATGTAGGCATCAAGACAAACGTTTCATTAAATTCACTTGGGCCTCCAAAAGCCCTGGTACTGCCAAGAGTGGGGACAGTCCGCTCACCCTCTTGAAATGCTCTCACATAGCCACACGTTTATAGCCTCTGCCAGAGAAGTCCTACTCACTGTTTTCTCGTGGCGGGGGTGTTGTTTACGAAAATGAAAGGACGAAAAACGAACATCCGGAGCTTTAACCGGATCCCAAACCAATGGTGCACACGGGATCCAGTATCCTGAAAGAACAAATGGCGTATGAACCGAGTTTCGGTCACCGGCTACCATGGGACCGCATCTCCTCACGATGCTCCATTGCCTTGTGGATCAGACCTTCAGGTCGAAGGCTCCGGGTGTGGCCCTTTAAGAAAAGCACCTGCTTCGGTTTGGGCACCCGGGCAGTATCACAGCCCTCACACATATCAAATGAGATCTGTGTGGCGCATATGTATTTGGTGTCTCCTTGTACCAATATCTATGTGTTAAAATAAATTTAAAAAAATCCACTTGGTATTGTTTACTTGAATCTTCCCATTGGTGTTTAGGATAGCAACTGATCAGTCTGTTATTGGCATATGTACATACTATCCATCTTTGCTTAAAATGCTTTTGAATTAAGGCAATATCGCGGTAATATGCACAGTATGCACATATGCTAATAATAGACTGACCACTTGCAGTCCTAAACATTAATAGGAAGATTCAAGTAAACAATACCACGTGAATTTCAACTTCACCTCATTGCACAAGCAAATGGCTATCATGACTCAGTAGCTAGGTGGATAACGTGATGACGTTGGAAACGAATGTAACTGGGTTTGATTCCTAGAGTGAACATCAACTCTGAGATGCAGGTACATCCAGTTGCAAGTTCTAACCAAATAGGGCGAAATGCGCGTCAAACTGGATTCCACTGCTAGCCACTATTCATCTTTGCTTCAAATGTTTCATTAGCTTCAAATGATAACAAACATATTTAACTCGATATGAAGTTACTACAATGAATATGCATGTAACAATTCAAGTCCACATTAAAAAAAGAAACACTTTTGTATGTTATGTGAATGTATTATTCACCTCAGAGTGATGTTGTTCATTTTGTTTAAGTACTTCAATACAAAGTTCAGCTAAATGATACATTTCATGAATTTTTCTGCTTTCTTTATTTGTGTCTAAAAGAATAAAGAAAAAGAAAAGAATCAAGCAAGTCAACAATATGGGTTATTTGAGGTGTTTTTATTATCATTTCCAAACAATATTGTAACAGTTTCACAATACAGATTATAGACAAGGATTACTGATAACAAACTGATTTATGTACTAACAAATTATACTACTGAATAACATCATTCCATTCAAGTTAGATGGTTAGATTCAAGTAGTTTGAATACCATATCTAATTGAAATATATATACTGAGTTGTATTACTGATAATCTAAGACTCAAATGAATCAAAAGACTTCATGGGCTTTAACTATGATAGGTTTAGATTTAATTGAATAATAATGAATGGTTATAAGGCAGATAACCTACCAATGAGAACGATGTTTGGTTGACTTTCAACTTAAATTCATCCTAATCCATGCGGTAGATAATTTTAGGGAATAATTTGTTGTAACAGTTAAGCAAACAGTGAAAAAGTACCAGTCACTTTTCCAACTTTAGATTATTTAAAAATAAATGGGATTTTAGTTTGATTAATCAATCAACAAACCACAAATTGAATAATGAATACTAATGAGTAGTTTGTTTAGTTTCGTTCAAAAAATGAGTTTAAAAAAGATTGCTTACTTTTAACTCGTGGTCCAGAAACGACTATAATAAATAAATAAATAAATAAATAAATAAATAAATAAATAAATAAATAAATAATACTATCCAGTTATTGAACTAGATAACAAAAGCAGATTAGGAACTAAGCTACGGTAAGAGTTTTAAAAAAATGATTACGCAATGGTGGATTGGTAAATAGCACTCTTGGTTTAACGTTTAGAAATCATTCATCGTTTAGAGTACTGATGTACCTGAAAAAAAGCTTTAATTATTGGTTTCATGATGATTAGTCGATTTTTTATACGTGAAGATCTTTCTACTATTAACCATATATTCTTGTATTTCTGTTATAACTTGTGACCGCCGATCGGAGAGCAGTGAATTATCGATCGGACCAAGGACTCGTAAAACACGTGCGAGCAGCCTAAAGTTCTGATTGGTCCTGCTTTCCGCCTAGCCCAGCCAGTTAAGTCCAGAACACCAACCCGAGCCTCTGCGATATGAATCATTTATTTCAAACATACTCGGTTTATAAACCAATCAAACAGATCACCACGTACCATAAAATAGAAAATAACATTTGTACAAGAATTAGCCAGATGTGGCTGTGAATGAGGGAGGTAGTGATTAACAGACAGGGAATAATTCAAGAATGGAAAATTGTATAATAACAGTTTATAGGTTAAAATAAAGCTTATGATAAGAGAGACATGAATATGAATAGTTTTGTAGTGTTAGTCATAAGTTTTAGCCCATAATATATCTTATTCTAGTTTTCGGACATTTCATTCTATTCATTCTGCTTGAGTCATATTTTGACCTTATCAATTATTTGCTTATTAGCCTTGACTGTTTTTATATGAGCGTCCCATGACTCATCACATGTCTGTGGTTTATTTTGTCTGCCTATAAATATTAAGTAATGCCTGGCTTGAAATGGAGTTGGCTTACCCGCCATCTCCACTGCGCGTCATTTTGCTTTGTTCTATTACATTCACTTTACATACAAAATATATGTATTCAAAGGCCATTCTCGTTAATTGACTTATCTAAATTCCGTTATTCACTAACGTGATTTAAGTTGACGATGATATACGAGAATAGGCGATAGCAAACATCCATTGATCTAAATTGGAGTCAGATCCACGGGCCACTAAAGTTTATTTAATTAACAATTATACGATAGAAATATACTCATAATATTGGTCCACAAATGGATCCAAAAAATTACCACTCATTATTCTTATCGGGGCATAACAATTTCATAACATTAACGTGCTAATTTTGGGCCATTCGGTTTATACATTTTCCAGCTTATGTAGATATAAGCTTTAACGTATTGTATAGTATTGTAGTGGTATCATGTTGCATTCTTGTTACCTTTGAATCAATTAATATTAGAAACTGTCACCAATAATCCCTGAAAACTCTTTCAACATTTTGAGAAATCAATCAGAAAACATTTATTGGATGTGTATATCTAAATATTGTTTTGGAATAACACGTTCAGAACTAACATAATTAATCATACATACTGTCGGATTTTACCAACAGAATGCTTTACAAGATTGACAAACATTTTGTTTGGATTACCTAGTCTTCAAATTAGTGAAAGTAACTGTGAGTATTTCGTGTAACAGTTGATAATACAAATACCGATGCTGTAAAAAGGTTATTTTTAGACGTTTTACTATTTTGTTGTAAGATGAATCAAGTTACAACATATCAATCTTATAATTCATTTAGCCAAATGTTATTAAACTGAATGCGTTTGGAACAATTCTGTAATTGCCAATAATGGATTATAGGGCAAACTGATAAGTGTATTAGAATAATGTGCTAGAACTCAAAATTCTTAATTCGAAAGTCAAATTATTCTTTCTAGTATGTTTTTTTAACGTAATATATAGTATAAAGTATAATCGGTTATCTAATTCATAGTGTAGTTGACGCTACTCAAAGGATTGTTTGTAATTAGTATACAGTGTAACGTGGCTTCAAAGTCAAAACAATTGTCTGACGGAGTGAAGTGTTTCATCATTTCAAAGTACGAAGTAGACAGAATACGTGGAGACCAGACGAGAAGATAGTACAAATGGCAGAACACATCGGAAGATGCAAACGAACAATTGAAGACTATGTATACGTATAATGTAAACACTTTGTAATAGTGACAAAAAATAAATAGCACAAAGTTTAACTAAATGTATATCGGTAGTCCATATCCATCCACCAACTTATACAATTCATTTCAGACATTATGAAAAATTAATAACAACATTTATTAATATGGCCATAATTTAATATAGCGATTATTTTTGGACTACTCAGTTCGTATTTTAGTAGTTTCGCAATAAACTGAAAAAATCATATGAACAATTTTGAGGGGCAATAAATTAATTCTCTGATATGCTTCAAATTTTCGATTGAATACAGATAATTCTTCAGATAAACAGACAATGCTACGATGGAATAACTATGATGTCGGTTGCCAGCTGATTTCATAGGAACGAGTATTGAAAACAATAACTAAGTAAAACCTGCAAATCACTCTAGAGCCTTACGCATCTATTGCTGGATCAGGTTTCTGTGTCAAATTAGGAAGAGGATAGAAGATTAAAAAGACGCATAGGGAATAGATTAAAATAATGCAGTATAAGTGATAGTGAAAAAGACTAACCATTGGGGATATGGTTCCAAATCTCATAGTCTAGGGTATAATATAGAGGAAACACATCTGCTCAATTATTTTCGATTCCAAGCCGTGTCGCTCAGTGTATCCAACAAATGATCGCAATCATTCTGAGAACCTCAAACAGGTAGTCTGCACCTACCAACATAGGTCAGTTCAACAATCAATAAATTCACTGACTGATACCACGTTTGACATGGTTGCAACTAGTTTTCTTGTAGCCTACTCTTCAGCTAACAAATATGGATGATTGGTGTAATTAATGATTGTATATGCGCAACACATATCTCAACTTCCTTGTTCGATTAAAGTTTGCAACTTTATTAATTGATGTGCTATCTTTATCTGTTACCGTGACTGTGTCTAACCTCAACGTTATCTATTCGTCAGTAACTATACAAGAGCAATTCATCGAAGAGAACAGTGATGAAAATCTACAGTCAGCTTGTGTATTTGTTTTTTAAAGATCATGTCCTAGGGTCCCCTAAAACCAACTTTCTTTACTAATTAATTGTGCTTATATAATTAAATATAAAATCTTTAATTACCTTCAATCATAACATATTCAGAAATTCGTTCATAGTTCAATACAGCTGCATTTCTTAAACAATTACGTATAACATTACGAACAAGTTCAGCTGAAGCTGGTTCACCGGTTTCTTTTGTTAAAACCTGTATCATGAAACAAATGAATAGTTTAAAATAATTGATAAAGGTTCAATGGGAGGAGTGTATGGTATTGAATTTAATAGTGTGAATTACAGTTAGACAACTACTTAGAAGTAATTATCGGAGCTATAAAGAGAAGTCATGACCATTGAAGTTCAACCATGTTAAGTGTGAGACGGTTACCATAATAACTGTATTAAAAGACGGTTGCACAATACTACGAATTGACTGAAGTTGAAAAAGTAAAACACTGGGTGTTTTAATAGTCATTTTTCAATTCGTTTGATATAGAAGAGTAATAATTAAGAATAGTTCCTGAGTTAACTTAGATTACCTTAGTGAACATTGTGTTAAAATAAGTCAACTATGAGAGTTTTTTTGAATAAATATATTTCATACATCCATTAATGTGGATAGATGATAAGAGATGCGAATCGGAGAAGTCAAACCGACTTATTCAATGTCATTAAACGTGACTTAACATTTATGGGCATGGAAAAAATACAAGTGTATAGATACATAAGTAATGCTATCCCTACATGTGTCAAGAACAAACACGTTTGCACGTGAATAATCGACTAGACCAAATGTACGGACGACAGAATAGATGGAAAGATTAGAATAATTTATCTGTCCAAATGTTAAGCATAGGCGTGTAATTATACGAAATACTACAAACCCTTGATTTTAAGGCTTATCACTCGCTGAAAGGTTTGAAGGTCCTTGTTTCAACAACAGGTGTGTGTTATATGCGATGGTGTATGTGACGCATGTTCTATACTAAAATAAAACAACTATCCGTTGTCTGCTAGCTTTCAGTGGTTGGTTAACTGAGGTAAGTCCATGATGTAAACCATAAAATATTTTCGGTATGAATGATTGCTATGGAACGAATATTTTTTATTACAAGTGTATTAAGAAGAGAAAGAGTTGAAGATTTCAATCTTTAGAACACTGGTCAGCTACAAGACAAAATATAAGTTTTTGAACTTGTAAAAGTTACAATAGATCAATTAAGTAATTTATAGACTACTTAGTTTACATATGATCAGATTGTTAACTTATTCCCTTTACGTTTAATATATTCACTACAGTCAGAATATTTAATAATAATCTAGTAATTCTTATTAAATTTCAGACTTGACAGTAATAATTAATCTAAGACTTAACTAGAGTATTCTAGTTTATTGAATAGAGCTAAATACAATCATCAATCAAGTGTTTAAAATTATTTAGTAGTAAGAAACAGAATTTATAGTTCACTTTCGATTGACAAATCTATTTCAGTAGGTGTAATTTGTTGAATATCTGAGTTGTTTCATGCTGTTTATTAACTAGAGTAATTTAATAATTCTTTCACTTGACTTTTATTGATTTCTCTAAGTGAGCAGGTAAAATATTTTCATATAATGTAAGGGGGCGACTCCAAAAATTACCTCATCTCTTATTATAATATTCACGGTCTTGTATTGAATAGAAGTTAAAACATTTGAACGATCTAAACTATTTGATTCGAAATCAACAGCTTACAACTGTAATGTGTCTAGTGAAAGTAGATTGTGAATGGTCAGAAGAAACAGAACAGACAGATCTATCATCTCACATACATGTTTATTTTTTGTATATAAACGTTTGCTACTTTTTTATGTTGTCATATCATAACCATGTCTCGATTATTATGTGCTTCTTTTTTTGTCAGTCAGATAATCGAGTGTGAATGTATCACTCTACTAAGCAGGATCAGTGTTAAAACATTATTTTTTTTATGTCCGCAACTGTTAAATGAACTTCAATTGTTACGACATTTGTTGAAGCATTGAATCTAGTCACGAGTTCCATTACATAGCTACTATCGTTAAAAGAATTTAAAGTCTTGAGTTGAATTATGGGAACAGTTTCTAAAGTATTTTTTATAAGCAATGATGGATAGTGGTTAGCAGTGAAATCCAGGACGCGCGTTTTGTCCTATTTGAGACTCGTCAGCTGGATGTACCTGCGTCTCAGAGTTGATATTTACTCTAAGACTCGAACTCAGTACCGTTCGCTTCAAATGCCATCGCGTTATCCACTTAGCTACTGAGTCCTGATAGCCACTTGCTTGTGCAATGGGGTGAATTTAAATTCACTCGGTATTGTTTGGGTTGTATCCTCCCATTGTTATTTAGTACTGCAATTGATCAGTCTGTTATTGGCATATGTGCATACTGTGCGTATACCTCGATATTGCTTTAATTCACAAGCTTTTTGTAAGCAATGATGGATAGTGGCTAGCAGTGGAATCCAGGACTCGCGTTTCGTCCTATTTGGGACTTGTCAGCTGGTCAATTGCAGTCTTAAACCTCAGTGGGAAGATACAAGCCAAACAATACTAAGTGAGTTTTTAAAGTAGTTTCAAGCTAAAATATTCAATGTTTATCTAAATTATCTTTTAATAAATCACTCTACTATATAATTGTTTCTTTTCTAAAACAATCATGTTTAATCAAATGTTACTTATTTATAATCAAGTACCAATTGTCCATGTGAAATAAACTATCTATCACTTGTATCAAGATTCATTTCATTAATTCAAAGATATTTTGACAAAAAAGAGACATTATTGAATGTTAAATGGAGAACAGCTATAAAATATCAAATACAGCCTTTTCTAACCTATAAATTTGATTTGATCATATTGAATACCAAAAAAAGTTTACATGTGACTTTTACCATTGATTTAATTTTATGATTTTTAATCTAATTCAGACATGGTTTTAATTTTGAAACGAAATGTATATTTAATAGTTGAATTCATAAGTCAATTGAAGTTAGGTCACCATGGAAAACCTGGAAGCACTGGACGGCCATTTCATCCTACTGTGAGACTCCTCACATAGTACGTATCCACGATCTTGCTTCAAGAGATTCGAACCAGGACCTATCAGTCTCACGTGTGAGCACTTAACCTCTAGATTTATAAATTCAACTACTAAATTACTATAATATCCACAAAACCCCTCTCTGATTATAATCATCATATACTCACTAGTGACGGTCACCAGGAAGTATTTCCTGCAGTTCTAGTGAAAAGCCATGACCAGTGGATTTCATCTGGGTCTGTTGTCAGATAGTAACTCACTGATGACAATGTTGGACGGTGGCGCGACTTCATGGATTGGTTGAAGTTAAACATTAACACCAATGAATGACGGCTCAGTGATCTAGTGGTTAAGGGCTCACGCGCGAGACTGAGAGGTCCTGGGTTCAAACCCCGAGAGGCGGAACCTTGAGTGCACGCTGCAGAGGAGTCCCACAGTAGGACGAAACGGCCATCCAGTGATTCCGGGTTTTCCATGGTGGTCTGGCTTCAAATGACTCATGAATTCAACCACTAAATTACTATAATGTCCACAATACCCATTTCTGGTTAATATATATGATTGTTTAATTGTCATAATTCTTTTTAATTTCCCTATGAATACCAAGCTTCCAAAATTTTTCTTTGTGGTTAAATCTTTTTTAATTGCAACAGATGTTAGCTTTTTTTCTAACTTGAATCATATATGGCGTAGGTTGAAGGTCAGTATACTGTCAGTAAACAGTTCACTCTGTTTTATAATTGAATAAGATATCTGATATTAGTAGTCGTGGTATTATGATTATCATCTTGATATTATGATTTCATTACGCATTGTTGATATGATGTGGGAAGTTGAATCGATGTATATGTATATGCCAGGTTCTACGTTACATATGAATAATTGATGAACTCAATGACAGATATCAGATTTCTAATCTTTAAAAAAAATTATTTATATACACGTTTACTAAAAATGATATCATACGGTAACAGTATTCATAAAATTTTAATTTATTACAATTAGTTAGAATGAATGATGTATTACATTGTCTTCAGGTTCTATAATCATAAATTCATAGATGATATTTGGCAATAACCAGCATTTAGAATGATTATATATATACGTTTTGACTAAAAATGTCAGTCTTATTAAGTTTATAGATGTATATATATATATATACTTTGTAATTCGATTTTATATAATGGGTAATAGGGGCAAGGTAACAGAGTGAATAATTTCAATAAAAAATTAATATACATGTCACATGTATTACACTTTCTAGATTACATAACATGAAGACAATGTTATAGAGAATAAATATTTGCTCAATTATTGCTATATTTAACTGTTAATAAGATTTCTTGATGTAAAATCTTTACACATTTGGGCAGTATCATTGATGAACATGGTGGATCTGATGCAAATGTGAAAGCGCGGATCGGCAAAGCAAGAGCAGTATATTTACAACTGAGGAACATCTGTAACTCAAAGCAACTGTCAACCAACACCAAGGTCAGGATTTTCAATACAAATGTCAAGACAGTTCTACTGTATGGGGCGGAAACCTGGTGAACTACGAAAGCCATCATCCAGAAGATACAAGTGTTTATTAACAGTTGTCTACGCAAAATACTTCAGATCCGTTGGCCGGACACCATTAGCATCAACGTACTGTGGGAGAGAACAAACCAGATCCCAGTGGAGGAAGAAATCAGAAAGAAGCGCTGGAAGTGGATAGGACACATATTGAGGAAAGCATCCAACTGCGTCACAAGACAAGCCCTCATATGGAATCCTCAAGGCCGAAGGAGGAGAGGAAGACCAAAGAACACATTACGCCGGGAAATGGAGATAGACATGAGAATAATGAACAAGAATTGGATGGAATTAGAAAGGAAAGCCCAGGACAGAGTGGGTTGGAGAATGCTGGTCGGCGGCCTATGCTCCATTGGGAGTAACAGGCGTAAGTAAGTAATTAAGTAAGTAAGCTATGTCTACGTTTTCTTTCCGATAACTTTTAACTCCTTAATATTAAAAACATAAAGTAATCAATGTTTGATCACTTAAATTAGTGGCCATATTGCAATTTACTTCACTTTGAGTACTAGACAAATATGATATCAACGGTTACTCAGTAATCAATAAACATAAATCTATCAAACT